TCCTCCTCTATACTTTTTCCAGAGCATTTATATCCATTCTGTAATACGGTGACCAGAACTGAGCAGCATAGTCCAAATGAGGCTTAACCAAGGATATATAGAGTTGAAGAACAACCTGAGGACTTCTATTATTTATACTTCTAGATATGAAGCCAAGAATTCAGTTAGCTTTATTGCGAACACTAATGCACTGTTGTCTTGATTTTAGATTACTGCTAACCACAACTAAATCCTTTTGGCAATCAGTGGTATTAGATCTACATTATTTAGTTTATATGTGGCATGGTTATTTAACTGTCCAACATTTAGAAGAACTTTGCATTTGTCAATATTAAACTGCATCTGCCACTTCTCCGACCACTGCATCAGTCTATTCAAATCATCCTAGAGTGCTCTAGTGTCCTCATAAGAATGAATTGGACGGCATATTTTGGTGTCATCAGCAAATTTGCTTATGTCGCTATTTATTCCCTCATCTATGTCGTTTATGTAAATTGTGAACAACAACGGGCCCAACACTGAACCCTGAGGAACACCGCTTGTGACGTGCCCCCATTCTGATTTCTCCCCATTTATGCAAACTCTCTGCTGCCTATTTGTCAGCCATGCCTCTACCCAGGACAAAATTTCTCCTCCTATTCCGTGTGCCTGTTTCCTCAATAGCCTCTGATGTGGAACTCTATCGAAAGCCTTACTGAAGTCCATGTACACAATATCATATTCATTAGCATGATCTACCTCCTCAAACACCTTAGTGAAAAAAGTTAGTAAATTCGTAAGACAGGAACGCCCCTTTGTAAAACCGTGTTGAGATTCATTAATCAATCTGTCTATCAAGATGGCTACGAATTGCTTCGGCAATTACTGATTCCATAAATTTTCCTACTATGGAGGTAAGGCTTATTGGTCTATAGTTCACCTGCCTTGTAAATAGGTATTACATTTGCCATTTTCCACTTATCAGGCACTATGCCAGTTTGTAGTGATATGTTAAAAAGATTAGCCAAAGGTATGCTAAGTTCCTCTTTACATTCCTTTAACACCCTTGCAAACAGTTCATCAGGACCTGGGGATTTGCTAGGTTTTAGTTTCTCTATTTGTCTGAGGACCATGTCACTAGTTACAGCAATCGTACATAGTTTATTATCATCCTGTTCTACATAATCTATTATTTCAGGAATATCGCTAGTATTTTCCTGGGTGAAAACTGAGAGGAAGTAGGTATTGAGAATTTCACACATATCCTTATCACCGTCAGTGATCTGACCAGAGTTACTCTTAAGTGGGCCAATCTTGTCCCTAATCTTACTTCTGTATACCTGAAATAACCCTTTTGGGTTAGTCTTTGAATCCCTTGCGACCTTAGCCTCATAATTCCTTTTTGCTTTTCTTATTCCTTTCTTTATTTCTCTCTTTAATTGAATATGTTGATTTCTTAACTGCCCATCCCCTCTTTTGATACGCCTATATATGCCTCTCTTTTGACCAAGAGAGCATATGAAAGCATATGAGAGCATATGAAAAATGGGAAAGAAAGATCCTTTGTGTAACTAAGTTTGCCAATATTAGTGTTTAGCTCTGTTATAGTGTCTTATGTATCGTGAACAAAAATATATGGGCAAGTCTCCTAACACCTGTTACCATATTCACCTACCGATATATTGATACCTAGGTGTCAATGGAGTGTTGTGGGTCGCATCCTGGAGAAGTACCTAAGACCTATCCCCCTCCATGCAAATAATGCACACTAGTTGTGGTTCTTGGGTTATCCTGAGTTATTAACCCTCCGTGGTTAATTTAGTATCCGAAAAGTCTCGTACGGATGAGCTCGGGTGGTGTGGGAAGTAATGTGAGGAACACGCCTGTGACACTGGCAGTAAGGAACGTTACTCCGTTATACATATCTGCAGACTCATAGACATGGCATTCTCACGCTGTGCATTGCCGTCGCCGCTCCCGGGGGAGCGGCAAGCAAGGAAAAATTGCAAAAAGTCAGAGCACAGACCTAGCAATTAAAGTTATATGCTCAACTCACAACAGAATTTATTCTAATATTTCATCTGATCACTGCAGACATAGCTTCACATTAACTATCTCTGCTTTGTATATATTCTGATGAGTATATTTCTTGGTGTGTGTGCACTGAGCAACAGTGTACACGTAGAGGGGGTTTATATCTCATTTAATATACATTTAGTGATTAGATAATTAAAGAAGTAAAGATACCCAACTGTTACTCATGTACTTGTCGATATTGTGTACCATTATTATAATGATACATAGGCCCATATTTATGACTAGTGTATTTGGGTGGTGAAGAGGTTGCATGCAGTCATAATGACCCTTTGTGTAGTCGATAGGCTTTTAATCCGAGTAACCAACGAATCAACCTGGTTTTGTTGGGACTTTTGGGATTTTAAATTATATCGTGTCTAGTCTTGACTTTCGAACAACTTATGCTTAATACGCGATTCTCAGCGTCAGTTTGTGATTATATTTTTTTCTTAATTTAGGTTAGATTAGGCTAAGCTTTGATGCGGCCTGGTTTGGTGAAGGGCTATTGAATCAAAGAATTGAGCTGCGTGGCGGATGTTGTAGTAGCAAGATTTGTCTTAGTTCCAAGTACCTCTAGCAGTTTGCAATATACACAAACAATGATGAAACTAAAGCATGCAATCAAGTCTTATGGTCAAGTTCTTATGCACTATGCTTGACTGTTTGTTTATGTAACTTCAGTTAATGTCATAAATTTACTCTATCAGCCCTTTTAAGATCTACCCTGTATGCCTTTTGTGTATTCATATACTTCGGCGCTGCCGTCATACGATGGATATTGAGGTGCACAATAAAGTAGCGGCTTGAAATTCAGTATCTGTTTTAATCTAATGATATTCGGCTCTTTATGTTTTCGAGAGCTAGATTAATGGAGAGGCTTGATTTCAGGGGTGTGGAGTGGCTAGGTCTAGGTTGGTAATGCTAACTCGGTCACCGCACTGGCTGGACTACTGTTCTAGAGATGGGGTACCCATTATTTATCAATTTAAAATTATCTCCATGGGGAAGTGGAAAAGAATTCTTCCTCGGTAAGTCATGTGGGAGCAAGGAGCTAGTAACCACTTCTGTATAAAGAAAAACTTCTGTTTTTCTTTTTTAGGTCACAGGCCTTCAGAGACCACAACAATGTATCTACTGCATCTGTTAGAAAAAAATGATAGGATGGATAATGAGAACCTTCAAAACTAGGGATGCCAAACCCATCGCCTTGGTCTTTCTAGGCTGGAATACTGCTGTGCACTAACTGCCCCCTTTCAAGGCTGGCGACATTGCAGACCTGGAGAGTGTACAAAGAACTTTCACGGCACACATAAGTACAATAAGGCGCCTAAATTACTGGGAACGGTTGAAGTCTCTTGATTTGTATTCCCTGGAACGCAGGCGAGAGCGATACATGATAATATACACTTCGAAAATCCTAGAGGGATTAGTACAAAATTTGCACACGAAAATCACTCCCTATGAAAGCAAGACTCGGTAGGAGATGCAACATTCCCCCAATGAAAAGCAGGGGCGCCACGAGTACACTGAGAGACAACACAATAAGTGTCAGGGGCCCAATATTGTTCATCTGCCTCCCAGTATACATAAGGGTGATTACCAATAGACCCTTGGCTGTCTTCAAGAAGGCGCTGGACAGGTACCTAAAGTCGGTACCTGACCAGCCGGCTGTGGTTCTTACGTCGGGTTACGTGCAGCCAGCAGTAACAGCCTGGTTGATCAGACCCTGATCCACTACGAAGCCAGGTTTCAGATCGGGCCGCGGGGGCGTTGACCCCCGAAACCCTCTCCAGGTATACTCCAGGAAGGGGTTTAAAAAAAAAGGAATGAAATAGGTTAGCCAAAATTTGAGATGATGAGGTTAGCCTTGAGTGTCCCCGCCCGGGTTTTGTCCAGCTGGTGACGCGGCACGAGTGTTGAGAGACGTCAGTATTTTACTTTGAACTCAGAAGCCAAACAATAATAATAATAATAAATTACAACCACTCCAGTGGAAATAAGGCACTGATTTTTTGGGTTATCCTAGGTAATTTATACATGTGTTACTATATACATATGTATACTATACACATATGTTACTATATTATGTGTACTTGTACCTGAATGTAGATGAATGGCTCAGAGAACCGACAAGTTGATAAATTAGACACATGTGCAACACTTGGGTATCTTTATTGAAGAAACGTTTCGCCACACAGTGGCTTCATCAGTCCAATACAAAGGAGAACGGGGAAAAACAGGAGTTTGAGGTAATAAAACTCTTCCTGTTCTTCCCCGTACTCCTGTGTATGGACTGATAAAGCCACTGTGTGGCGAAACGTTTCTTCAATAAAGATACCCAAGTGTTGCACATGTGTCATGCTGTATAGTCCTTGTGGCTTAGCGCTTCTTTTTGATTATAATAATAATAATAATGCACATGTGTCTAATTTATCAACTTGTACCTGAATAAATTTACTAGAGTTAGTAACAGGTTAAATCAGGAAAATCAATCAGTTTGGCTTATTTACACTGGAATCCCTTGGTCCTTTTCTAGGATACGATACGCAAAAGTTGGCTAAAACCCAGGTACCTATTTACTTCTAAGTAAACAGAGGCAGTAGGTGTTACCTGCCAATATATATGTGTGGCCCCCGCTCAGGATTGAACCCAGATGTTTAGCTGTGAACCGAACGTGCCACCAATGAGCTAGTTATAAAATATTACATATATACTCATATGTTTGAAGTCATATAACCAAGGTTCCAAAAATGTTTTAGTTCCATGGGCAACATAACACATGATTTTCACACTTAAGTATTAAGATTTATTTTCAGTAATGTACCAATAATGTTTCATATATACCTACAACATCTATTTCCACTCAGAACCACCGTAAAAATTTATACGACCGTGTAAAATGATTTGTAGATTTGATGAGTTCTTATATTGCATTACGCTTTCAGATTCATCAGTTCTTCATAGAGAACGGCGTGCTATAGAAAACCAGCATGAATATGAGAAAATGGATACATCGCCATTTGAAGTACCTGTAAAGAATATCTCAGTGGGTGATGCTAGCGCCAAAGTATCCACCCTTATTTCCCAGCTGTATTACGGAAACCAAGAAAACCGTTACGAAGAAGACACCGACAAGATCGTTAAGGAATACGACAAAAAAAATCGAAAAGCTGAAAATTTTACTAAAGAAAATTATAATGACAAGCATGCAATAATAAACACTATCAATATCACTTCCCTCTCTGTGCAGTATCTTCCTCAGGGACAACCAAATGCAACAAAAATTAAAATTCACAGTGATCGTCTCAGGGAATACAATATCACTAATGTTATGACTGAGTTGGATCCAGATGTTGACATTGTTCACATCCCCAGTGATATAATAGTGTCTGAAGCCACAACCTTACCTAGCTTGTGGGCAGGAACTACAGCCTCAGCTGTAGCACACTTTGAGGGTAAAGGTGCTCCTAATGATCTGGAGACAGTGACCGTCAATAAGACGAGTATATCATCGCCCAAGATGAACGGATTTGGCTCCAATGTTTTTGTTGGTAGAACCCCAGGACCTATACTGCCCAACACGGAGGAGCCCGGGTACTCCCGTTTGGGCATCATCACTTGGGCCACTATCCATGATGAGCGGCCTACCACCCCGCTCTCTCTACAGTACCAAGGTGCCACGCGCACAACACTCCGCCCCACCCACTCTAAGTACCCGCAATTGCTAGGGGCTGATCTTACTGTCTTTGACAATCTGTTGAAAGCAGCAGACTCTAGCTCTTCTACACCTGTTGGAGATGTGAAGGTTAATTCACGTACTGAGAGGCCGATCACCACCACCACGACCAAATCTTCAACACACGCCAACCATTCTAGTCTGAACAACGACATGGCGATAGTAAATAGCCTGCTGTCTTTTATGCTTCATAAACCTTCCACTGCTGAACCTGCCATTAGTGCCTCTGGTCTAGTATCATCGACGGCGCGGCCACAGGTGGATCACGCCCTGTCTCACTCCACTCTACAAGATTTCCTCTCCCATTATTATTCAGCTGATCAGCTACTAAATTTAATGTCAACCTTTTCACCTTTCCTGCCAATAAAATCATCGTCTACAGGCGCCGTGATGGACAACAAGACCGAGGACACCCTCCCTACAGCACCCTCTGTGGTCCACCAGACGACCACCAGGCATTACGCCACGTCCTTCCCACTGGAGCAGTACACCTCAAGTGATGGCAACTTTACAACTGTACCAGCTTTTTCGAGCGACATTCCAATTATTTTCCCATACGAGGGCCTTAATGTTATAACGAAGAACAGACAACCATTTACTACCTTAGTGGCTACAACAACAGTAAAACCAATAACAAAGGATAGGTTGTCAGATGAAAATGCTCCCTGGTTTGTTGCAAATGATGCTTTAATTATAACGTCGACTAAACAACCATTCACTCGTCCAGCCTCCAGACTAACTACGGCTACACAGCTAACCGAGCAACCAAACACAATAAAATCATTCACTTTAAGTGAGAGAGCACCTCCCGACACTCAACACCGGGAGACATTTAGCAGGCAGCCCGTACCATCACCAGCCTCAACCATCACTGCCACAACACATGAACTTCTTGGTGTCAGTCATTTTGTGGATGCTTCATCTAGTGTTATAAACTTCCACAGTATAAGGCCCACTACCACAACTTCATCACTTTCAACGGTTTCATCCACTTCTGTTCTCATGACAACGACCATTCCCCATTGGGAGGACCCCAGCCAAGCTCTATACATCAGGACGACCACTCGTAGGCCTCTTCCTATACCATCACTTACACCACCTATTATCAACTCACTGCTGAACCACAAACCACCATCCTCAGTTAACGATAATTCACGGAATGTGACACACGCAAGCAGACCTCCTCTCTACTCATTGAGTATTGCTATAACAGATAAACCATCACTCAGTAATTGGTATACACCATGGGAAGTTCCAAAAAGCACAGTATATGGAAATTCAACCTCATCTTTCATGGGCTCGTCTATCAGCACACCTCAGTCTAAGGAGGAAAAGGGCAAGCAAGATCCAACCACTTCCAGTTATCCTTGGATGATAATTAACAATAATATACACGTGATATCAACCACACGTAGGTCATATTTCCAGCCATCCTTAACAACGTCATCTTCCACTAGTAACAGTATAGCCACAAGACTTGATCCATATATAAGGAAGACACCAATCACAACAGAGCCGCTGGTTACATCTGACATGGCCATGACAACGTTTAATCCACTTTATTTCGAGACAACGACGCGCAGACCTTTTGTCAGGTCTCCTTCTACGCCCCGTAATAAGCGACGTCCTCCTCATCAACCTTACAACGCGAAAAATGACTTGACTACCTTGATCAGTCTCTTGGACTCAAACCAACTCAAAGGAACGACTGCGGTACCTGCAGTAGACTGGACAAGTGTCACTAGATCACAGCCAGACATATCATCCTCAGTTGTCAAAACTTCGGATGCAGAGGCAACGATTAACAATTTTATGCCTTTGCCAGCTAAGAACAACGAGACTGAACTCTTTTTACCATATGAGACATCTTCATCCAGTCACAGTAGCATTATATTATCTCCAATGCAAAATAAAGTTTCTGAATCACATAACATAACATCGTTTCTGCCTTCAAGTAACAACACTTCAGAAGATCCAGCTATCAAAACTACAACACTGCAAGAGGAGGCTCTCTATGACCCATCCAAGTATTGGTTCTCTGCCATGTCACGAAGACCATCCACAACCCCAGAGACGCCACAGACTATCAAGGGGAGCCTCACAAATTCTTGGTCACCCGATACTTGGTATGACTCCCTCCTGAAGACACCAGCATCACCCACAGTAAGCACACATGATGCCACAGCACCCATCATCTCTAGTGAGACATGGTGGGATCTACACAGAACCTCCGAAAGCAAATCTAGGATGACTTCACCGTCTCCAGTTTTAAAATCAACTTCATTTAAGCTCAAAGAGCCCGACCAAGTGCATGATGTAATTTCTTCAGATCCTATTACCAACGAAATAGCTAATGCCAGTGCTTCTTTCTTAAATCATAGCACAAGTAACAGGAGCCCACAAACACACTCAAGCTCCACTCAGCCCTATGCAGTTTTGCATTCAGAGTTTTTTAAGCATTCTTTCATAACATCCGCAACCTCTTTTACGACAGATGGTGCGTTATCTTCCTCTAGTAATTATCAAGCACCTCTTGTAACTTTACCTCAGATTAAGCTCACAAAGACAAATTACTTACCGAACACATCTGTCTTGAACACAGATTTTGTCCAGAACGTTCCATCGTGGCGACCAGGACCACAATTTTCCATGCAAAATATAACTGCTCTGACAACGGCGGATACATGGGATGAGAGTTATGTAAATTACGCAGTGACAAACTCTTCACATGTCTCTTTAGCAGGTGGCGGCCCTCTGAATGTCACGTCGCCCTCAACCACCTCTGGCTTCTTGGTTACCACATTGTCAAATGGATCATGGGAGCCACCTGGGGCCAAGATAAATGATACTATACTGCGGATTCCTCTAGATTACACTTCAGGTGTTGCTGCCACTACTGATAACGTTTATGCGAATGCCTATATGAACTCTACATCAGCTGTCTTCAAGCCTCACGTGCAGAAATTACAGCTTCTCATGAATGCTGCAAAAAATATTCTGCCTCAAAACATATCTGACACAGAAATTCTGAACCATATAATCAACATTATAAAACATAAACAAACACCAGTACTAAATATAAATCAGTTAGAGATTCCCGAAACAACTCAGACAACCATCAGACCTCAACAGGTCACAACACAACCCAGAATGACACTTAGAGACTCTTCTAAAATCACCGTTACAACAGTCACACACACGGTCACTTGGCTACCTGGTGACCATGTCTCCTTGCCCAGAGAACCACAGTATGCACAGATTACTGTCACGCAAAGTACGTTGGCCACCTCCGTTCCAAAGGTACAGTTTTTGACGCCATCAACGACAGTCTTCACCAGCTCCGAGCCAGCGTGGTCTGCCACTCTCGTCTCCATCCACCCACAACAAACATATCTTGTCGCCCCTTCTTCTGTCACGTACTTTCACGGAGACTTGGTCTCTCTTCAGGCTGTTACTGTGCTGGAGACGGGAAACTCACATGACCCGTTCAGTGATCCAAGTAATGTGGTTACCACGATTCCCACCGCCAGTGTTGAACATCTTGCCCTCATACCTTCAGCAATATACAGTTCTCTGACCGAGAGCATGCAGTCTTTTCTTCCTGATGCTAATTCAGACATCAGCGCTGTCCATGGCGCTCTTACCATCAGACCATCGGCATCGTCTCTATCATTAAACACTTATCGACAGCACCTGTCAAAAGAAGCAGCCACAGAGATGATCGTCTTTCATTCAAGTTTTGGTGAGGTGATGGTACCTTCCTCAGCCTGGATTTACTTCAGTGATCCCTTAGCTATGAGCGCGACAGCCACCACCATCCCTAGCACACCACCACAGGATGCTCATGCGTCCCTCCCCTCTTCCACGACTGTGTATCAACCGACGCATAATAACTCTGATTTCGTTGCTCCGCCAGGGACCGCGGGAGTTTGGCCGGGGTTTCCCCAAAGGGGCTCCTACCCCATCCAGGCAGTGCACTATCTTGGTGGGGGACAAGGAGCACAGGCGGACACGGGAATTAACAGTAATAACCTGACCAATGGTGTACAAGAAACGTATAGTGGCACTACTCTTGCATTTAATCCTAAACTTTCAATTGCCAACAGTGAGATAACACAGACTTTTAGCAACATCCCCCAGCCACACATACCCACGACACATCTTCCCTCTGACTTCAGTAACCAGAGACCAAGTGTAACTGAGAGTGCGGAAATACCTCATCAGTTTCAAAACAGTGTGAACACAAGACTGCAGCGAATCACTGAGACCAACTTGCCTGGCAACACTAGTGAAAACTCTAGTCAGGGAGTTATAAACGGTGAAGTAACACTGGGTGTACGCAACATGTCCTCGGGCCACGTGGTTAACAACAAACCAATACAGACATCTGACAGCTCAAGTTTGTTCCCCGACACGATCAACAGCGGCATCCCGAACCATCTGTCTGTAGAATGGGTGAAGAAGCAGATCCAAGAGTACCTGGCCACCACAACCACCACCACACCACCTCCTACCACTCCTCTTTACAATAATATACATGAATGGGTTATGGGTTTACTGAAACACAGCACAACGACACCCAGACCAACTACAACCACAATAACTGGAATAGACATTAAAATTCCACTAACTTTCGTAAACAATTTACTTTCGCAGTTGAAGGTCTTGGATACTTTCTCTTCTTCACGTCCTACAATGAACAAGTTTCTTTTGAGTCCGATTAATCCACTCCACACGGTCATAAAGAACCTTATGAAAGCAACCCAGGGAAACCTGAGTGAGGCCATGGTCCTGGTGTCTTCTCTGAGTACTACATTGAGCCCCAGCACGGCCTCGATACCAACTGAAGCCGGAGTCATCTCTCCTCCAACTTTATCTACTGAGATTCTGTTACAGGAAACGTCTATGCCTTATTCACCTGATTTTCACACTAATTTTCCTGAGCTCGGCACGACACTTCACGCAAACTCTTCATCGTTGACTACAACGAGCACAACACAGAGAGACTCGGTTTATGCATTAAGAGACTCAACAGGAGTGACTCCTTTACCCACCTCTTTTCCTTATGTGACCACCTGGGCACCTTCGGATATCCTGCAGACTTTCCAGTCAGTGTCTGACTGGGAAGAGAATATCCCGGGAGAGCTTTCGTTTACAGAGAGCAGCAATTCAGAGAATGAGGCAGACTTCTGGCAATCTTCTGTTGTTCCTCAGCTTCACCAACATTCAGACGCAACCCAGGATACTAATAGCAAGATACAGTCACAGAATGAAACCACTCTGAGATCGGAGATGAAAGAAGATCAACTTTCAAGAGTATCGAACGAAATTCTCACTACGTATTTGACAGACAAAGAGACTAGTGTCAACGCCCATGAGCATGTTTTTTATGATAAACATATGCATCAAACTGAAAAACGAACCCAAAATAACATCACCGAAGCCTACCTAGCTGACTCTCAGGTCAAAACACCTCACAGTAAATACATGGAGGAGTGGATGGATATTCTGGCGTCTGTCCTTAATACCTCCAACCCCAACGCCTCCATCGCTGCCCTTGGCCACATGACATCCGAGGACCTGCTTGCTGTGGTGATGCTGAACGCTGTTCTTGAAAGCAATAGGACATACGAAGAGGTGTACCCTGATCTGGCTATTCTGCGGCAAGTCTTATTCCAACTGAGAGGAAACAGTAAATTCTTTTATCCTCAGTCAAGCACTGTTGATGTCACTGATCAGTCGTATGCTGACCTCTTGGCTACGCTTCTTAAGTCCAAATATGAGGACAGGTATCCTGCTGCTCCATCAGATGTTCAAGAAAATTATGTAGATAGTGAATCATATGAACAGGGCGATGAAATACATAATTCAGTGACCTATCCATCTTTGTTTTATTCTTATTTGTCTACACCTACACCTGACAGTTTCCCTGCTAAACCCAGCGTGCCTCTTTCTATTCACAAGCCTAGCCAGCCCAGTCAGAGGCCCATTCAAGGGCTCAATTTCAGGCCTGAACAGTCCAGTCAAAGACCCATTCAGAAGTCAACTCAGAAACCCATTAAGGAGCCTGATCGGAGGCCTCTTCAACAGCCCAGTCAGAGTTACACTCAAAGGCCCACCCTCTTCCCCAATAAATCGCTGGATGAGACTGGCGGTGCCATCTTGCACTTTCCTAAACCCGTCTTCCTACCCCTTAACACTGATGATTTGATAGCCACGGCTCAGTTCCAAGCGGATCCGTTTCATACAGAGGGTTACGTCCAAGAAATTCTGCCTCTCTCCCCCACTCCAACCTATGTTGTAACTCCAACGACGGTGATAGTGACGGAGGCAGCACCTGCAGTACTTGACCTCTCCTCAGTTCGGCCCACCAGCGTATTTTCCCAGCTGCAGGCAGAGTCACCGCCGAATTCCAACGGTAACATGCAGCAGATAAAAGCTGCCCAGACATTACGTTTTCAGTATTCGTTATCAGCTGATTCAGGTGGTACACAGTGGCCATTAGCGTCTAATACACCAATGAGGGAGCCATCACAGGCTTCCTGGGGTCCCTCTATTACTCCCGGTGATCCTGTAACTAGCATTATCACAGAGGAGTCTCTCATTTTTCCCTCTCTCTGGTACACACACTCACCAACACCTGTTCTCACTCACAGCTCAGCAACACCTCAAGTGGAACAAGCAATGTTTTCCTCATCTTCATTTAATCGAGAGAAGATGTCGAGTTCTTCTGTATCGAGTGATGAAAGCAACTCTTTGTTGTTTGCTCTAAAACCACCTCAAATTGATATTCCTCACTTGTTATATTCTCACTATGTATTTGGCTCTCCGATTAGACCCACGACGTACCCTGTGAGATTCCCATCATCTAGTCTGCCAGTAAACCAACAGGAAGGACTTTATACCAGATCGGCAACAACGTGGGAAAGACAAACAGTCACCGAGTTCATTTCTAACTCATTAATCCAGGGAGCAGTGCACGTGAGCCGCCAGCCTACCGAGCCTCAGTTGATTACAGTCTCCAGCATCATTCAGAAACCTCTGTCAAGACCAGCTGATCAGGTTACAATTCACTCTGCCTTCCTGCAAGATGAGTACGGGTCTTATACCCAGGGTGAAGTAAACTATGATTCACTCTCTCAGTCGGAGGAAGAATCTGAGTCATTCTATTACCAAGATGAGGAAGAATATGGTAAACTCTCTGACTTCCAGGATGACCATGATGAGTTAAGTAAAGTTCCTGTGGGGTGGGTGACATCCTTCACTCCTGCGACATTCTTTGATCTGAATGCAACTCCGCTATCCGAGAGCTTAAGAGTCACAAAAGATATAAGTGAACCATTGACTCTTTCTCCTAATATCCAGCCTACAGCTGCTTCATGGGCATCTACAGTAAAGGGCAAGTTGCCACCTTATTCTGTGATTAGTGGAGATAGTGTCTCAGGTGGACAAGGTAGCTCCTCATTAAGGCTTTCTTCATCAGTCAGTAAGGAATCTTCAGATGGCATAGTGGTGTCTCCTTCCCTAGGACTGTTGACTGGGGATTTCCAACCAAAGCCTTATTCCAATTTGAGTGTAGCTGAACAGACCGTCCTGAAGTACCCTACACCTGGAACACCTTTGGCAATTCATTCACCCACAAGTGTTTACCCACATTTTTATCAACAACTGGTGTCCTACCCACCTACAAGTCATTCTCCAGTCACCAGGTATCCACTAGTCTCTAGTTCCGACTACCCAGGTACCTCATCGCTTCCGACAAGCAGTTCATATCATCAGTACCTGAATCCCCAGAATCCAGAAACTGGGTATTCAGGAGGTTATCCAGGTATTTTCAGTTCTGAATATGTTTCTACACCTGCTGAGGTTAATCACGGAGGGTTTAGTCTACCAGGGGCATCTCTAGGACATGCTGGTGGGCAGCATGCTGCTACCAGTATTGGCATAGAAGGGCCGACAACTTATGCAACACCAGGACCTTCATCAACCCGCGGCCCCAGTATTGTACATCCTGGAGTGGCCACTACGCAGCCTGCGACGGGAGGTGAGACACTAATATCGAAGGGGCATGCTTAAATTAATATAATTATCCACTTTATCCTCCAAGTTAACACAGCAGTACTCCAGTACTCCACACACACACACACACACACACACACACACACACACACACACACACACACACACACACACACACACACACACACACACACATGATTCATTTACCATAAAACACTACAGCATCACCACCCAGCTTTCAAAGTAGACACTGTATTTCCCACCTTCAGCAGTAAAGTCCACCTAAACATTTTTCTTTAGTACGTACTTTCATTAATATTAACATGTTCCCACAAACAGCATGTGATATTCTATTTTTTTCACTACAGTCTAGCACTCTAACATATACTTTCTGGATGCTGTAAGATCAACCTCTCTAACATTCACGTTCTATATTAGTCATCTAACATTCACGTTCTATATTAGTCATCTAACATTCATGTTCTATATTAGTCATCTAACATTCACGTTCTATATTAGTCATCCGCTACACCTTCCATCCACTCCAGATCTCTAAACATTTTTACTGGAACCATCGTTGCTTTATCTTCGTTTCTTGACCAAACTACTTCAATAATTCCCTTTCCTCTCGCTGAAATATATGTTTCATGCCAACAGACCATCTTGTAATTTCTTCATTCCTTATTCTCCTCGCCACACATTGGTCTCAAACACAACTTTTCCACCGCCTACGTTGGTGCAACTATATTCTCACACATTTCCATATTTGCGTTCATTAATAAATTTCTTTCTAAAGAGTCTTCAGCACTCTTGCTGCCTCTTTCACAGACACATTTTCAAACACCTCCACTCACGGATATAGAAATGCATTCACATTTCCCGTACTCTTTCCTTCCGATATCACGTTCAGTGTTTTATTGGTAAGACTTTTTTACTCTCGTCACTTTGCTTGTCGTAGTGCTCACTTTCACCTACCAATTTGTCTTTTGAATCTTCCTGTACCATACCCCAGTATTGTATCCCTGTACAGTACCTACTGTACCTTCTCGTAACCTACCTCCTGTGCCGTACCTCCTGCAGTGTACCGCTGCGGCAGTGTGGGCAGTGCTCGGGTCAGCAACTTCCTCAACCCATCGTACCCTATGCCAGACCGCGGCCGAGGCACATGTACCTTCCGTCTGTTGGTCCCAGACCCGACTGTCTGCCAGGTGTGTACTCACCGATTTCTCACCAATTTGTACTCACCGATATGTTCTCACTGATTTGTTCTCAATAATTCGTACTCACCGATTTGATCAGCATCACTGACTTCTGGCCTCTTAAGCCTAACATACACGTCTTGAAGTTGTGTATTGAATTTGCCTTCACCGCTGCTTTAAGTCATTCCACTTTTTAACCACTCTGAGACTAAAGAGATACTTCCTTACATCTCTGTGGCTCATCTGTATCTCCAGCTTCCACTTATGTCTTCTTGATTCTGCTCCTCCATAATTCCACATTCTGGTCATAAAGCCCCTAATCAATTCGCTGTTTTAAGACGTTGTACGAGTAAATCACTGATTACTACCTTGTCCTCATCCTCTAAGGTCGTCAGGTTCAGTTCTTTCAACCTCTCTTCAATACTTCTTCTCAGTCGTACTAGTCAGGTGTGCATTGTCTGTCAGGTGTGTATTGCCTGTCAGGTGTGTATTGTCTCCAGGGTAATTGTCTGTCAGGTGCGAATTATTCCTACCGGTGTGTATGTCTGCCAGGTATGATTTCTACCAATTTGTACTGCATGTCAGTTCACTGATCTGCCAGGTTGTCGTACTTGTTTGTCAGTGTGATTGTCTGCCATGTGTATTGTCTGTCAGTGTGTATTGATTGCCAGGTGCTTATTTCACTAGGATTGGTAAGATCTGCCTCAGGTGTCGTATTGTTCTACCTGTGATTGTCTCCAGTGTCTTAGTATCTACCAGTGTGTGTTGTCTGTCAGGTGTGTACTTGTCTACCAGGTGTAGTATTGTCTGTCAAGTGTTATATGTCTGCCAGTTGTATGTCTACAGGTGTGATTGTCTGCAGGTGTGTATTGTCTGCAGGTGTGTATTGTCTGTCAGGTGTGTATTGTCTGTCAGGTGTGTATTGTCTACCAGGTGTGTATTGTCTGCCAGGTGTGTATTGTCTACCAAGTGTGTATTGTCTGTCAGGTGTGTATTGTCTGCCAGGTGTGTATTGTCTGCAGGTGTGTATTGTCTGCCAGGTGTGTATTGTCTGTCAGGTGTGTATTGTCTGCCAGGTGGTTATGTGTTATGTCTGTCAGGTGTGTTTGTCTACCAGGTGTGTATTGTCTGCCAGTGTGTATTATCTACAAGTGTGTCTGTCTGTAAGATTGTACTGTCTACCATGTAGTTGTCTGTCATTATTGTCTGCAGTGTGTATATGTCTACAAGGAGTGTATTGCTGCCAGTTATTGCTACAAGGGATATTGTCTGTCAGGTGGTATGTCTGTCATGGTATTGTCTACCAGGTGAGTATTGTTGCAGTGTGAATTGTACCAATTGAATTGTCTGTAGTGTGCATTGTCTGCCAGGTGTGTATTGTCTACAAGGTGTGTATTGTCTGCCAGGTGTGTACTGTCTGTCAGGTGTGTATTGTCTACCAGGTGCGTATTGTATGTCAGGTGTGTTATCTGCCAGGTGTGTGTTGTCTGTTAGAATTAATCTAAGTCTGCCCGAATGCCAGCCTGCTGGTGTCTATGCCCTCTGTAATTAGTATTTATAACATGTAACACCATATCCAAATCCTGTAAACCACTTGTACCCTTATAGAGAAACTTGATGTTTGAATTGAATTGATGGTGTTGTCTGCCAGGTGTGTGTTGTCTGCTAGGTGTGTGTTGTCTGCTAGGTGTGTGTTGTCTGCTAGGTGTGTGTTGTCTGCAGGTGTGTATTGTCTGCTAGGTGTGTGTTGTCTCCAGGTGTGTGTTGTCTGCTAGGTGTGTGGTGTTTGCCAGGTGTGTGTTGTCTGCTAGGTGTGTGTTGTCTGCTAGGTGTGTATGTCTGCCAGGTGTGTGTTGTCTGCTAGGGGTGTTGTGGTGTTGTCTGCTAGGTGTGTTTGTCATGCCGTGTGTGTTGTCTGCCAGGTGTGTGGTTGTCTGCTAGTGTGTATTGTCTGCCAGGTGTGTGTTGTCTACAGGTGTGTGTTGTCTGCCAGGTGTGTGTTGTTTGCTAGGTGTGTGTTTCTCTAGGTGTGTGGTGTCTGCAGGTGTGTGTGGCAGTGTTGTTTCTGCTAGGTGTGTGTTGTCTACTAGGTGTGGTGTCTGCTGTTTGTCTAGAGTGTGTTTGTCTGCCAGGTGGGTTGTCTGCAGTGTGTTGTCTGCCATGGTGTTGTGTGGTTGTTTTGCTAGGTGTGTGTTTCTGCTAGATTTGTTGTGTGTGTGTTGTTTCTGCTAGTGTGGTTGTCTGTAGAGTGTGTTTCTGCTAGGTGTGTGTTGTCTGCCAGGTGTGTGTTGTTGATTGTTTTTCTGCTAGTGTGTGTTGTCTGCTAGATGTGTGTTGTCTGCTAGGTGTGTGTTGTCTGCCAGGTTGTGTGTTGTCTGCAGATGTGTGTTGTCTGCTAGGTGTGTGTTGTCTGCCAGGTGTGTGGTTGTCTGCAGATGTGTGTTGTCTGCCAGGTGTGTGTTGTCTGCTAGGTGTGTATTGTCTGCCAGGTGTGTGGTGTCTGCTAGATGTGTGTTGTCTGCCAGGTGTGTGTTGTCTGCCAGGTGTGTGTTGTCTGCCAGGTGTGTGTTGTCTGCTAGGTGTGTGTTGTCTGCTAGGTGTGTGTTGTCTGCCAGGTGTGTGTTGTCTGCCAGGTGTGTGTTGTCTGCCAGGTGTGTGTTGTCTGCCAGGTGTGTGTTGTCTGCCAGGTGTGTGTTGTTTGCTAGGTGTGTGTTGTCTGCCAGGTGTTTTGTCTGCGGTGTGTTGTCTGCAGGTGTGTGTTGTCTGCCAGGTGTGTGTTGTCTGCCAGGTGTGTGTTGTTTGCTAGGTGTGTGTGGCATGTGTTTCTGCCAGGTGTGTGTTGTTGCTGGGTGTGTGTCTGCAGGTTGTGTTGTCTGCAGTGTGTGTGGTAGGTTGTTTCTGCCAGGTGTGTGTTGTCTGCCAGGTGTGTGTTGTCTGCCAGGTGTGTGTTTTCTGCTAGGTGTGTGTTGTCTGCTAGGTGTGTGTTGTCTGCTAGGTGTGTGTTGTCTGCCATTTTGTAAATTGTCGTTTAATAAATGGTGTCAACTATATTGTAAATAGTAATAAAGTTGGTAGAATTACCGACAATATGTAAAGTAAAAGGACACAAGTGCAACTAATGTGACATTTATTGTGGCAACGTTTCGCTCTCCAGGAGCTTTATCAAGCCATTACGTAATGGCTTGATAAAGCTCCTGGAGAGCGAAACGTTGCCACAATAAATGTCACATTAGTTGCACTTGTGTCCTTTTACTTTATATATTGTAAATAATTTCATCCATTTTGTAAATCATGCCAGCTCTTGTAAATCATGTTAGTTCTCCTGTAAATTATGCCAGCTATCTTGTAAATCGTGTCTGTTTTCTTAGTCATGTCATTCATTTTGGAAATGTTAACCATCTTGTGACTCATGTCAGGTATCTTGTAACCCATGCCAAGTATCTTGTGACTCATGTCAGGTATCTTGTAACCCATGCCAAGTATCTTGTGACTCATGTCAGGTATCTTGTAACCCATGCCAAGTATCTTGTGACTCATGTCAGGTATCTTGTAACCCATGCCAAGTATCTTGTGACTCATGTCAGGTATCTTGTAACCCATGCCAAGTATCTTGTGACTCATGTCAGGTATCTTGTAACCCATGCCAAGTATCTTGTGACTCATGTCAGGTATCTTGTAACCCATGCCAAGTATCTTGTAACTCATGTCAGGTATCTTGTAACCCATGCCAAGTATCTTGTGACTCATGTCAGGTATCTTGTAACCCATGCCAAGTATCTTGTAACTCATGTCAGGTATCTTGTAACCCATGCCAAGTATCTTGTAACTCATGTCAGGTATCTTGTAACCGATGCCAAGTATCTTGTGACTCATGTCAGGTATCTTGTAACCCATGCCAAGTATCTTGTGACTCATGTCAGGTATCTTGTAACCCATGCCAAGTATCTTGTGACTCATGTCAGGTATCTTGTAACCCATGCCAAGTATCTTGTGACTCATGTCAGGTATCTTGTAACCCATGCCAAGTATCTTGTGACTCATGTCAGGTATCTTGTAACCCATGCCAAGTATCTTGTGACTCATGTCAGGTATCTTGTAACCCATGCCAAGTATCTTGTAACTCATGTCAGGTATCTTGTAACCCATGCCAAGTATCTTGTGACTCATGTCAGGTATCTTGTAACCCATGCCAAGTATCTTGTAACTCATGTCAGGTATCTTGTAACCCATGCCAAGTATCTTGTGACTCATGTCAGGTATCTTGTAACCCATGCCAAGTATCTTGTGACTCATGTCAGGTATCTTGTAACCCATGCCAAGTATCTTGTGACTCATGTCAGGTATCTTGTAACCCATGCCAAGTATCTTGTAACTCATGTCAGGTATCTTGTAACCCATGCCAAGTATCTTGTGACTCATGTCAGGTATCTTGTAACCCATGCCAAGTATCTTGTAACTCATGTCAGGTATCTTGTAACCCATGCCAAGTATCTTGTGAACTCATGTCAGGTATCTTGTAACCCATGCCAAGTATCTTGTGACTCATGTCAGGTATCTTGTAGCCCATGCCAAGTATCTTGTGACTCATGTCAGGTATCTTGTAGCCCATGCCAAGTATCTTGTGACTCATGTCAGGTATCTTGTAACCCATGCCAAGTATCTTGTAACTCATGTCAGGTATCTTGTAGCCCATGCCAAGTATCTTGTGACTCATGTCAGGTATCTTGTAGCCCATGCCAAGTATCTTGTAACTCATGTCAGGTATCTTGTAACCCATGCCAAGTATCTTGTGACTCATGTCATGTATCTTGTAGCCCATGCCAAGTATCTTGTAACTCATGTCAGGTATCTTGTAGCCCATGCCAAGTATCTTGTGACTCATGTCAGGTATCTTGTAGCCCATGCCAAGTATCTTGTGACTCATGTCAGGTATCTTGTAACCCATGCCAAGTATCTTGTAACTCATGTCAGGTATCTTGTAGTCCATGCCAAGTATCTTGTAACTCATGTCAGGTATCTTGTAGCCCATGCCAAGTATCTTGTGACTCATGTCAGGTATCTTGTAGCCCATGCCAAGTATCTTGTGACTCATGTCAGGTATCTTGTAACCCATGCCAAGTATCTTGTAACTCATGTCAGGTATCTTGTAGCCCATGCCAAGTATCTTGTGACTCATGTCAGGTATCTTGTAACCCATGCCAAGTATCTTGTGACTCATGTCAGGTATCTTGTAACCCATGCCAAGTATCTTGTGACTCATGTCAGGTATCTTGTAACCCATGCCAAGTATCTTGTGACTCATGTCAGGTATCTTGTAACCCATGCCAAGTATCTTGTGACTCATGTCAGGTATCTTGTAACCCATGCCAAGTATCTTGTGACTCATGTCAGGTATCTTGTAACCCATGCCAAGTATCTTGTAACTCATGTCAGGTATCTTGTAACCCATGCCAAGTATCTTGTGACTCATGTCAGGTATCTTGTAACCCATGCCAAGTATCTTGTAACTCATGTCAGGTATCTTGTAACCCATGCCAAGTATCTTGTGACTCATGTCAGGTATCTTGTAGCCCATGCCAAGTATCTTGTGACTCATGTCAGGTATCTTGTAACCCATGCCAAGTATCTTGTGACTCATGTCAGGTATCTTGTAACCCATGCCAAGTATCTTGTAACTCATCATCAGGTATCTTGTAACCCATGCCAAGTATCTTGTGACTCATGTCAGGTATCTTGTAACCCATGCCAAGTATCTTGTGACTCATGTCAGGTATCTTGTAACCCATGCCAAGTATCTTGTGACTCATATCAGGTATCTTGTAACCCATGCCAAGTATCTTGTGACTCATGTCAGGTATCTTGTAACCCATGCCAAGTATCTTGTGACTCATGTCAGGTATCTTGTAACCCATGCCAAGTATCTTGTGACTCATGTCAGGTATCTTGTAACCCATGCCAAGTATCTTGTGACTCATGTCAGGTATTTTGTAACCCATGCCAAGTATCTTGTGACTCATGTCAGGTATCTTGTAACCCATGCCAAGTATTTTGTGACTCATGTCAGGTATCTTGTAACCCATGCCAAGTATCTTGTGACTCATGTCAGGTATCTTGTAACCCATGCCAAGTATCTTGTAACTCATGTCAGGTATCTTGTAACCCATGCCAAGTATCTTGTGACTCATGTCAGGTATCTTGTAACCCATGCCAAGTATCTTGTGACTCATGTCAGGTATCTTGTAACCCATGCCAAGTATCTTGTGACTCATGTCAGGTATTTTGTAACCCATGCCAAGTATCTTGTGACTCATGTCAGGTATCTTGTAACCCATGCCAAGTATCTTGTGACTCATGTCAGGTATCTTGTAATCCATGCCAAGTATCTTGTGACTCATGTCAGGTATCTTGTAACCCATGCCAAGTATCTTGTGACTCATGTCAGCTATTTTATAAATCATCTCAACCATCGTGCAGATGTTTATCATCTAAACCATGTCAGCTATCGTGTAAATATCAGTGAGGCAGAAGGAGGGAAGAGGGAAAGAGAAGAGAGGGGAGAGGAAAGGTAAAGGGGGGAGAAAAAAGAAGAGAAGAGGGGAATTGAGAAGGACGGTGAGGAGGGAGGGAAGGTGAGGTGGGAGGGAGACGGGTGTCCGCTTCCCATCATCATATTTGTGTTCACCTCCGTCACCCTATGTGTATTGATGGTGACCCCTGAACTCTTGGCATCTTCAGAGACCTTTATTTGACATGCTATAAGCCGGAAAACACTTGGATTCCCGTGTGAGGTGATGTTGATGTGCTTTATCGTCGTGCAGGTGCGTGTCGACTTCGTGGAGTCATCTATGGTGCTGCCGGTGAAGGGTCGGTGCAATGGGCAGCGTCTTCACGTCTCTGGTACCATCCATCCCATGCCCGTCAACGACTTCTGCGGCAGGAACACCGACCAACACTGTCAGTAATAAGTACCTTTTTGTAATTACCTATCTGTAGCTACAGTAGCAGAGCTGTGCTCGTGCTGTCTCCTCTTCCATGATTTATCACATTTTTTTTTAATGTTCATTGGCTGTAGCACTTTCTAGTTAAGTCATAGTCAGACATTTATTTCTGGATGATACAGTGTTTGTACAGAGATGGCTGACATTTGCTTGTGCTTGCAGGAAGACCATTGTTATGCACAACATTTTAATTCATTCATTTATCTTTCAGTCAAGAAAAATTTCTGGTATCCCTTCAGCTCCACTTTTGTTCATTTTACAACTGTGGGTGTAAGTGTGGGCGTGGAAAGGGAACACTAACACTAGCATTGAGAGCGTGAGTAGGTGTGGGCGTGGGGAGTTGGTACCAAAACTAGCGATGAGGGCGTTAGTAGGTGTGGATGTGGGCGTGGGAGGGGAACACCAACACTAGTATTGAAGGCGTCAGTAGCAGTGGGCGTGAGCGGGAAACACCAACACCGGCAGTGAGAGTGTAGGTGTGGGCGTGAGAAGGAAACACCAACACCGGCAGTGAGAGTGTAGGTGTGGTCGTGAGAAGGAAACACCAACACCGGCAGTGAGAGTGTGGGTGTGGTCGTGAGAAGGAAACACCAACACCGGCAGTGAGAGTGTGGGTGTGGTCGTGAGAAGGAAAACACCAACACCGGCAGTGAGAGTGTGGGTGTGGCGTGAGAAGGAAACACCAACACCGGCAGTGAGAGGTGGGGTGGTCGTGAGAAGGAAACACCAACACCGGCAGTGAGAGTGTGGGTGTGGTCGTGAGAAGGAAACACCAACACCGGCAGTGAGAGTGTGGGTGTGGTCGTGAGAAGGAAACACCAACACCGGCAGTGAGAGTGTGGGTGTGGTCGTGAGAAGGAAACACCAACACCGGCAGTGAGAGTGTGGGTGTGGTCGTGAGAAGGAAACACCAACACCGGCAGTGAGAGCGTGGGTGTGGTCGTGAGAAGGAAACACCAACACCGGCAGTGATGAGTGTGGGTGTGGTCGTGAGAAGGAAACACCAACACCGGCAGTGAGAGTGTGGGTGTGGTCGTGAGAAGGAAACACCAACACCGGCAGTGAGAGTGTGGGTGTGGTCGTGAGAAGGAAAACACCAACACCGGCAGTGAGAGCGTGGGTGTGGTCGTGAGAAGGAAACACCAACACCGGCAGTGAGAGTGTGGGTGTGGTCGTGAGAGAGGAAACACCAACACCGGCAGTGAGAGTGTGGGTGTGGTCGTGAGAAAGGAAACACCAACACCGGCAGTGAGAGTGTGGGTGTGGTCGTGAGAAGGAACACCAACCCGGCAGTGAGAGCGTGGGTGTGGTCGTGAGAAGGAAACACCAACACCGGCAGTGAGAGTGTGGGTGTGGTCGTGAGAAGGAAACACCAACACCGGCAGTGAGAGTGTGGGTGTTGGTCGTGAGAAGGAAACACCAACACCGGCAGTGAGAGCGTGGTTGTGGTCGTGAGAAGGAAAACACCAACACCGGCAGTGAGAGTGTGGGTGTGGTCGTGAGAAGGAAACACCAACACCGGCAGTGAGAGTGTGGGTGTGGTCGTGAGAAGGAAACACCAAACACCGGCAGTGAGAGTGAGGTGTGGTCGTGAGAAGGAAACACCAACCACCGGCAGTGAGAGTGTGGGTGTGGTCGTGAGAAGGAAACACCAACACCGGCAGTGAGAGTGTAGGTGTGGCGTGAGAAGGAAAACACCAACACCGGCAGTGAGAGTGTGGGTGTGGTCGTGAGAAGGAAACACCAACACCGGCAGTGAGAGCGTGGGTGTGGTCGTGAGAAGGAAACACCAACACCGGCAGTGAGAGCGTGGGTGTGGTCGTGAGAAGGAAACACCAACACCGGCAGTGAGAGTGTGGGTGTGGTCGTGAGAAGGAAACACCAACCACCGGCAGTGAGAGCGTGGGTGTGGTCGTGAGAAGGAAACACCAACACCGGCAGTGAGAGTGTGGGTGTGGTCGTGAGAAGGAAACACCAACACCGGCAGTGAGAGTGTAGGTGTGGTCGTGAGAAGGAAACACCAACACCGGCAGTGAGAGTGTGGGTGTGGTCGTGAGAAGGAAACACCAACACCGGCAGTGAGAGTGTAGGTGTGGGCGTGAGAGTGTGGATGTAGTAATAATACAGTCACAGGTATAATTATGAAGGACTACTAATTATTGAAACACTGTACATAGTGTAATGTTACAGAGGCACTTACAATGTTATAACAATAATATTTATTTCTACAAGTACATGTACCAGGTATACAGGTCTAGCTGACCTCACTCACTTGCTACTATATAGAAAACCTCTTGTTTGGTAGAGCATTTCCCGCAAATTATTTCGATTTTGTTCCCAGGATGCGACCCATACCAGTCAGCTAAAACCCAGGTGCCTATTTTACTGCTAGTTGAACAGGGACAGCAGGTGCTTTAAGGAAACACATCCTGATGTTTCCACCCGTACCGGGAATCGAACCACGGACGTCAGTGTGTGAGCTGAGTGCGCTAGCTATGGAGCTACATACTAATGTGAAGTATTTAATAATATGAAATATTGGCATCTAGAGTAATAACTCTGTATTCCTACCTCTTGTTGTACACCACAATATTTTATAAGTAACTGCGATTTTTTTTTTTTTAAGATTCGCCGGTATTCTCCCGTGCCGGACCTTTCCCAAGTGGTGGCCCGGCCTTGGCTAAACGTGAAGTACATTACTTAATAACGAAAATTCATTAATCTCGTGCAACTTACAGTATAGCTTACTGTATAGCCCTTGTGGCTTAGCGCTTCTTTTTGATTATAATAATAATAATGTAAATAATGATAATAATAATAATGTCACCTCTTCTCATAAGTAATAATAATAATAATAATAGTAATAGCAATAATAATAATACTAATGATATGGTCACCTCTTCTCACATACAACTCTCACTACATTTTGTCGGTAATTCTACCATTATTACTGTGACTCAGTGCAGCGCCATCTTGGTAAGAGTTAAATCGTTCTATGTAGATATAAATAGCAGGTTGATCACAAAGTAAGTCCTCTTCCTTTAATAAAAGAGACCTTCACCAACATCACGTTATCCCCCATTAAAGGTTTTACATTTCACAACAATAACCAGTTAGTAAGTTTATTCAGGTATACACAAATACAGTTATATAGAATTATAATACATAGCAGTATATGTGCAGAGAACCTGGGATAACCCAAAAAAAAAAGTCACAGTGACTTATTTCCATTGGGGTTTCTTCTTATTTCCATTGGGGTCCTTTAATTTCCATTGGGGTCCTTCACATTATCACATGAGCGTGAGAGACGAGTCTGTGTAGTGATTAAAATCAATGTTACGCAAAAATTATTATTATATATAGTTGTTGTAATAATGTGCCACTGGTATTTATGTAATAGGATACATAAATCGTCCAGATTATATATTATACTGGTGTATTCCTATACTGTTTCATCACTCGCTGTCTCACCCATACATTGCAGCACCCCTTCACTACACTATAACTTATGCCAGCTACACTATTACTCCTTCATTCCGTCACTATAACCTCTCCACCCTACACTGCCACACTCCTTCACTATAAACTTATCTACATCATTATGAACTCTGCGAAAAGTCAACGCCTTCTTCATGTATTGGTGTTCCTCCGTCAGTCTACGTGGAGCTGGTGGGAGGGAGAGAGTCTGTGGACAGGTGGGTGGAGTTCAGCGTGGTGACCAGCGTCAGCCATGCTGTGTATCGCTACGGACTGTGGATCACTCAGGTCTCCTGCACGCGCTCTGACCCTCTCCTTGGTGAGTCTTTCACTAATTATTCATTCATTCATTAGGGATTTGCCGGTACTTCCGGCCCGGGTCTTCTCCAGATGGTGAGCCGGCGGTGGCCCCCGGGTTGGGGGTGTCGTTCATCTTTCTTCTAGTCTTCTTTCTTGGGCCCTCCGGGTGGAGGGTAACATCATCTTCTCTCTTGCGGTGACTCCCCGGGGAGGAGTGTCGTCTCACTTCGCATCTTCATCAGCAGGCGTCATCTTGGTCTTCATCAGTTTTCACTAATGATGCCGCATCAGTGGCTAGCTTATTGCACACCAGCAGCTCATCCTGTGAGCGGTAGTTTATTATGAACCAGTAGCTTATCCTGTAGTAAGCCTACGGCATGCAGCTGTGTTCTACAGTACCAGCGTGTGAGGTGAATAGCTCACAACTAGTGCTAGCAGATACCTCATTAAGTAACAAGTGTTAGTATGTTATTTTGAAGGATTGAGTAATTCCTTTTCTCTCTCTTGTGTGGTATGGAGAGTCAGGAAGGTGGCAGTGGGCGGCCCACTGCTCACGCCTTGTGTTTAACATATAATAATAATAATAATAATTTTAACAGTAATAATAATTATAACAATAATAGTAATTATAACAATAATACTAATAAAAATAATTGTTGTTTCTACAAGAACATGATACAACTTATACAGTCCTAGCTGACTTCAATTACATACTATATGGAAAGCCCCTGGTTATGCTGAGCATTTCGGCCAAATTAGGTTACTTTTGTCCCCAGGATGCGACCCACACCAGTTGGCTAACACCCAGGTACCTATTGACTGCTAGGTGAACAGGGACAGCAGGTGTGTTAAGGAAACACCCCCCCTATGTTTACACCCGTACCAGGGATCGAACCACGGACCTCAGTGTGTGAGCTGAGTGCGCTACCAGCCGAGCTATGGGACACCTAATATTGTTTGTTTGTGAGACAGGCAAAAGATTGTGGAATTTTGTCTATGTTAAGAAAACGATTCTATGTTGTGCTTGTTATTTGTATCACTGGTAACGTAAATGATCATGTGTCGCTGATGACGCTGAATATCACGCAAAACGCAAGTTATTATGTGTCCCAGGTGACGCAAGTTATCATGTGTCCCAGGTGACGCAGGCTACCACGTGTATCACAGGCGGCACAGGTTTTGTTACATGTGACGCAAGTTATGTGTCACAGGTGACGCAAGTTATCATGTGTCACAGGTGACGCAAATCATGTCACAGGTGACGAAAGTTATGTGTCACAGGTGACGAAAGTTATCATGTGTCACATGTGATGCAAGTTATCATGTGTATATTTATGTGGTTATGTGATATCTTGGCAGAAATTATAATACATTAATTTTGAAGTTTTTATGCTTGTGGTTCTCACGTGTGTTCCTTCAAAGTCTGGTATAAGGTTCTTGATCCCAAGAATTCGAGCTACCCTCCCATTCCTTGGGTCAAACCTGATTACCTCCCATCAGGGGAGCATACGTCACAATACCGTGGCTAGAACACTTTACAAATAATCCACACTTAGGAGAGGACACTTACGATCAGGTTTCGGTCGATTCTTGGACCATTGTTAGGTCACAGTGTGGTCATAAGTTTTGTCTTGTCATTGCGGGTTATTTGTGGATTATTTATTTATTTATTTATTTGAACATGATACAGAAAAGTACAAAGAAATACAGTAATTAAGTGTAACATGCCAAAGCCCATTGTATGCAGAGCATTATGGGCAGGCTTAAAATTAACTTAAGATTAACTAAGCAATGATATATTCAGTGGTAAAACATTATTGTAAGCAGATTACAATTAAGCACAAATGAGTATTTCAAAGACAGATCATATGGTCATTTACTGTGTTGCTGAGCATTCAGTAGAATGGAGTATTCTGTTAGGTAATGTAATAAAAAATAACAAAGTTTGATTGGGTCACAGGTTAATCATTTATGAGATACAATTATGAGAAACATTTGTGAGATACAATTTATGAGATACAGTTATTTAGTATTTATTTAGTTATGGGTGAGTAAGTGATTTTTGAGAAGAGACTTGAATTTATAAACAGACTGTGTTTCTTTTATATTCACAGGTAATGAATTCCAGATTTTAAGGCCTTTTATGTGCATTGAGTTTTTGCATAGTGTGAGATGGACACGAGGAACATCAAAGAGTGATCTGTGCCTTGTGTTATGGTCATGTGTTCTGTTGAGGTTGGCAAGGAGATGTTTGAGGGGAGGGTTTATATCTGAGTTAAGGTTCTATTATGTGTAGGGCAGTAATAAAAAGGGATTTTGTAGGGTGAGTAGGTTTAGGTTTTGAATTTTGGGTGGAGGTGCTCCCTTTATGGGAATTTGTTATCTTTCTGACGCAGCCTTTGGTTGGTAATTAGTGGTCCAGATGGTTTATTGTTGTAGGGGCCCCTTTTCACAATTTCCCCCCCATGGGTGGATGGGGGAAAAAAGTGATGAATGGGCCGGAGGGCGGATGTGGAAAATACCGTATTTTCGAATCTGCCACGGTTTTGGGAAATTTTCGGGGAAATTTGTTGATATGTTTTTGAAATTTGGTCTATTATCAAGGGGGTTCCCTAAGAATTTCCCTCTGTTAGCTTTGTGATAGATGATCCATTTACATTTTTTAAAGGGGGGACATCTGTACTCTGTTACCAAACGAATGAAGTAAGTTTTGGGTCAATGTTTAGAGTAATTTTAGTCCTCATCTGGGTAATATTTCTGAAATTTTCGGTTTTTACAGTTTTGGGCTCATACGGGGCTGGGTGAGAGAAGACGTATTTAGTGTCATCTGAAATAGGGGGGGTTTGATAGTTGCGATGCATTTGGTAGGTCATTTATTTTAATGAGAAAGAAAAAGGGGCCCAAGGGACACTTCCCTGTGGGACACCAACGTAATTGCTGTGGGGGAAGAGTTTCCCCTTTTCTGTACACATATTGGCTCTGTTGTGGATTACGGAGTTTACCTGGAAGAGTTCCGGGGGTCAACGCCCCCGCGGCCGGTCTGTGCCAGCCTCCTGGGGAAGAGCCTACAACCGGCTTTTCCTGGCTGCACGCAAACCAACGAAGCCCCCGCCCGCTGGCAGGAACCGACTTAGGTGCTTGTCCGGCCAGCTTGAAGATGCCCCGGGGGGCGTTGGGAACCCCCTTATGTTGCGGGGCAGTTGAAAAGTCTCGGGGCCCCGACATTTTTGATGGGGCTCTTAAAGTGACCATACTTTAGGATTTTAGGGAAAATGCCCTCTTTCCATAATGGACAATTTTTGTGAGCAAGCATGGGCAACTGTATCAAAAACTTACGAATCAATGAAAATCCCCTGGGACTTCTTTTTTTTTCTATTGCAGTGAATATGTTCTTAGCATGTGTTAATAGCAAACTTAGTAAATTTTTTTTTTTGGGCCCGAAACCCCAAAATTTCAGGGGGTTTATATTTTTTGGGAGGGGTAGGAATAATTCGCTTATGAATTTTTTTTTGAAGATTTTAGAGAGAGATGTAAATGGAATTTGGGCCCATATTATTCAAAATCTGTTTGGTCTCCTCCTTTATGAATCGGGGTGACCTTGCTTTTTGAAAACGTAGGGGAGGTAGAGGATTCGTGGATTTGTTTAAAAAGTTTTGCAAAGACGGGATAGCCTTGTGACCTTTTTTGTATATAAAAGGGGGGTAGGTATTTAAATCTCCTTCTTGTTTTTTGCGTGTTGATAAAAGGGAGACTTTAGCTGGGGTTTTCGGAGTTTGGGCAGTGGTTCGGGGGAGTTGCCCGGAGGTGCATTGGGTGGGGGGGATTTGAGCTTGGGATTTATTTGGAAGTTTTTTCCCCATAGTGGAGAGAAAATCATTGAGTCGTTTGCTTTTCTGTTGGGGGATGGGGTTTATGGTTTTGTTAGTTCAATTTTGCTATTTCATGATATCTTTTTTGTTCCTAGAATTTCAGATAGTTTTTTCCAGTTCTTTTTTTTATCACCTCTTAAGTTGGATAATCTGTTCTCATAATACAATTTTTTAGCCCTTCTTATCAGGCTGGTTAGGATTGACGAGTAACGTTTTGTTTGGTCTCTGGTTATGTGACCCATTCTGTACTGTTTTTCGTATAGGTGCTTTGTATTTATGGATTTGAGGATGCTGGGTGTTAGCCAGGGACTGTTCAGTCTCTTAGTTGTCATCTGTTTAGTTTTTTTTAGGGTAGTGCTTATTATAGAGGTATTGGGTCTTTTTTAGAAAATTATTAATACATTCATCAATATCTGTATAGATTTCTAGCTCAGTGTGCCAGTCAATGTTTGCCACTGCTGCTGTGAAGTTATTAATGGCTGCCTCATTGTGAAGTCTGAAAGTGACTTTAGTAGTGTCTTGGGGTAATTTGCCAAGATTTGTTATGAGGAAGGTAGGGTAGTGGTCTGTGGTATTGTCTGTGATTATGCCTGATTTTAAAGGGGATAAGGTGTTGGTCCAGATGTGGTCTAGTAGGGAAACACTAGTCTGTGTAATTCTTGTAGGTTTTGTTACTGTTGGTAGCAACATGCAGTTACTCATAGTGTTTGCGAATTCAGTAACATGTGGGTCCTGGTCTTGCAGGAGATTTATACTGAAGTCACCTGAGAATAGTAAGTGATCTTTATTCATTCGTGCATCAGTTATCATACTTCCTAGGTTTTCACTAAAACGGCTAATGTTTGACTGTGGTACTCTGTAGATGTTTATCACTGTGAGAGGTTTTTGTAGGTATTTGGATTTGAATTTAGCTATTATATATTCCCCATGTTCATCCCTTGTGCAAGTATTAATGATACATTCTAGTTGGTCTGAGTAGTATATAGCTGTGCCATGGTTGATACTAATGCCAGTGTTGACATGTGTTGGTAGCTGGCAGCGGGTGTTTGCAGTACTTCCTGGCGTCGTCGGGAGTGATTAAGAGTTATAACTTCGAGGGTCATCAGTACCTGAACTCACAGGACTACTACATCTGTGTGAGGACGGCGCCCGGGGCCTGTGCTCTCTCACTCTCCGCCAAGGAAGGAGACTTCGGCATCCAGAAGTTTAACTCCAGACTCGTCTCTTTCGACAGGTTAGTGACAGAATTATTTCTAAACTCCAACTTGTCCTCATTTTGCTTAGTTGGCTAACATCGTCTGTTGGTATTGGTTTTTATTTTAATTTCTAAAATATGAAATGGGTTCTGAATGGAACTTTGCATTTCGTGTTAATTTATTTTTTTTTTTTTGGTAACCTAATATAACGTATTCCAGCCAGACCTCACCTAGAATTGCTCGTAATTTATGTTAGATTAGATTTGATGACCAACAAAATATGCTTTTTCTCATAACCCAAAATACAACCTGTCTCCATTACACAACCTACTTAATATTAGAGAATTTACATAGTAAATTGTCGGTAAGTCCATAACCCGGAACCTTCATTCAATATAATCATTTTCTTTTTTACAGTGTTGGCATCGTCAGTGTAAGTTTCTGGAAGCTTATAAATATTTTTTTCATAGGTCAGATTACTTGAAGCTATAAAAACGTATATTTGACAAGAAATATTCATGGGAAAGGGAGGGGGGGAAGGAGAACGCTAAACCCGTTGGGGTCATACAGTGTTTGGGGGGGATGGAAGGCATTTCGACTCGATTCAAGGTTTGCTTCAGTTCCTTAGATCAGGAGCCCCTCGTCAGCATCAAGGAACCTCCCTTGAGGAGACACCTTTATATGGTTCTAAGAGTGAGACTAATATTCTGAGAAACTAAGAAAGTTGTTCCAGTGGCGGAGTTGACGACGCTGATGACTCTTGATCTAGGAAACCGGTCAGACCTGTCCTCCCCTTCCCTTGGTTGTATCTGTGCTCCACTTCCCTGAATTAAGCCTGAATACCTTCCATCCCCCCCCCACAGGCGCTGTATAATCATACGGGTTTAGCACTTTCTCATAATTAGTAATAATAAATCCCCTTCCTTTGTGTTGAACTTGATTGACCCCTCATCTCCCTGACGCAGTATGATCCCTAAGGCTTTAGTGCTTCCAATAATAATGTATTGTATCTCATGAAGAGTTAAACCCATGTATTATTCATCACATAGAATGATTAGAGAATTGGGGACTTTACGCCAGTGTGTACCAGTGCAGGACATTGCATTTCGAAGAAGAAAATGTCACAATACCGTGACTAGAACAATACACAAATAACCAGTACATAGGAGAGAGAACTTAAGACGACGTCGTCATAAGTTACTGTCTTCTATGTGCAGTATATTTGTGTAATGCATTTTAGTTATAATATATAAATATAACTTGTATTGAAACCCACTGGATGAGGTAGATGAGGATCTTGTAAGTCATGATATAAAACATCGTGAACAATGTGTTGCTGCTCCCAATATGCTGCTATGTTATATTCAAGCAAGAGATTTTGAGTACAAAACATGGACAACAATACTAACTGTATAGTGCACTTGTCAGACCCCACCTTGATGGTGTTCACCTCCGCTCCACTCATTATGTGAAAGATAACTATAAGGCAGAGACGGTGCAAAGGAGGGCAATAAAACTTTTTTTTTTTTGAACAAGTCGGCCGTCTCCCACCGAGGCAGGGTGACCCAAAAAAAAAGAAAGAAAATCCCCAAAAAGAAAATACTTTCATCATCATTCAACACTTTCACCACACTCGCACATTATCACTGTTTTTGCAGAGGTGCTCAGAATACAACAGTTTAGAAGCATATATGTATAAAGATACACAACATGCCCCTCCAAACTGCCAATATCCCAAACACCTCCTTTAAAGTGCAGGCATTGTACTTCCCATTTCCAGGACTCAAGTCCGACTATATGAAAATAACCGGTTTCCCTGAATCCCTTCACTAAATATTACCCTGCTCACACTCCAACAGATCGTCAGGTCCCAAGTATCATTCGTCTCCATTCACTCCTATCTAACACGCTCACGCACGCTTGCTGGAAGTCCAAGCCCCTCGCCACAAAACCTCCTTTACCCCCTCTCTCCAACCCTTTCGAGGACGACCCCTACCCCGCCTTCCTTCCCCTATAGATTTATATGCTTTCCATGTCATTCTACTTTGATCCATTCTCTCTAAATGACCAAACCACCTCAACAACCCCTCTTCAGCCCTCTGACTAATACTTTTATTAACTCCACACCTTTTCCTAATTTCCACACTCCGAATTTTCTGCATAATATTTACACCACACATTGCCCTTAGACAGGACATCTCCACTGCCTCCAACCGTCTCCTCGCTGCTACATTTACCACCCAAGCTTTACACCCATATAAGAGTGTTGGTACTACTATACTTTCATACATTCCCTTCTTTGCCTCCAAAGATAACGTTTTTTGACTCCACATATACCTCAACGCACCACTCGCCTTTTTTCCCTCATCAATTCTATGATTAACCTCATCCTTCATAAATCCATCCGCCGACACGTCAACTCCCAAGTATCTGAAAACATTCACTTCTTCCATACTCCTCCTCCCCAATTTGATATCCAATTTTTCTTTATCTAAATCATTTGATACCCTCATCACCTTACTCTTTTCTATGTTCACTTTCAACTTTCTACCTTTACACACATTCCCAAACTCATCCACTAACCTTTGCAATTTTTCTTTAGAATCTTCCATAAGCACAGTATCATCAGCAAAAAGTAACTGTGTCAATTCCCATTTTGAATTTGATTCCCCAAAATTTAATCCCACCCCTCTCCCGAACACCCTAGCATTTACTTCTTTTACAACCCCATCTATAAATATATTAAACAACCATGGTGACATTACACATCCCTGTCTAAGACCTACTTTTACTGGGAAGTAGTCTCCCTCTCTTCTACACACCCTAACCTGAGCCTCACTATCCTCATAAAAACTCTTTACAGGATTTAATAACTTACCACCTATTCCATATACTTGCAACATCTGCCACATTGCTCCTCTATCCACTCTATCATATGCCTTTTCTAAATCCATAAATGCAATAAAAACTTCCCTACCTTTATCTAAATACTGTTCACATATATGCTTCAATGTAAACACTTGATCTACACATCCCCTACCCACTCTGAAGCCTCCTTGCTCATCCGCAATCCTACACTCTGTCTTACCTCTAATTCTTTCAATTATAACCCTACCGTACACTTTTCCTGGTATACTCAGTAAACTTATTCCTCTATAATTTCCCTTTATATAAAGGGACTATACATGCTCTCCGCCAATCCCTAGGTACCTTCCCCTCTTTCATACATTTATTAAACAAAAGTACCAACCACTCCAACACTATATCCCCCCCTGCTTTTAACATTTCTGTCATGATCCCATCAGTTCCAGCTGCTTTACCCCCTTTCATTTTACGTAATGCCTCACGTACCTCCACCACACTTACATTCTGCTCTTCTTCACTCCTAAAAGATGGTATACCTCCCTGACCAGTGCATGAAATTACTGCCTCTCTTTCTTCCTTAACATTTAAAAGTTCCTCAAAATATTCTCGCCATCTACCTAATACCTCCATCTTCCCATCTACTAACTCCCCTACTCTGTTTTTAACTGACAAATCCATACTTTCCCTAGGCTTTCTTAACTTGTTTAACTCACTCCAAAATTTTTTCTTATTTTCATTAAAATTTCTTGACAGTGCCTCTCCCACTCTATCATCTGCTCTCCTTTTGCACTCTCTCACCACTCTCTTTACCTTTCTTTTACTCTCCATATACTCTGCTCTTCTTATAACACTTCTGCTTTGTAAAAACCTCTCATAAGCTACCTTTTTCTCTTTTATCACACCCTTTACTTCATTCCACCAATCACTCCTCTTTCCTCCTGCCCCCCACCCTCCTATAACCACAAACTTCTGCCCCACATTCTAATACTGCATTTTTAAAACTGTTCCAACCCTCTTCAACCCCCCCACTACTCATCTTTGCACTAGCCGACCTTTCTGCCAATAGTCGCTTATATCTCACCCGAACTTCCTCCTCCCTTAGTTTATACACTTTCACCTCCCTCTTACTTGTTGTTGCCACCTTCCTCTTTTCTCATCTACCTCTTACTCTAACTGTAGCTACAACTAAATAATGATCCGATATATCAGTTGCCCCTCTATAAACATGTACATCCTGGAGCCTACCCATCAACCTTTTATCCACCAATACATAATCTAACAAACTACTTTCATTACGTGCTACATCATACCTTGTATATTTATTTATCCTCTTTTTCATAAAATATGTATTACTTATTACCAAATCTCTTTCTACACATAGCTCAATTAAAGGCTCACCATTTACATTTACCCCTGGCACCCCAAATTTACCTACTACTCCCTCCATAACATTTTTACCCACTTTAGCACTGAAATCCCCAACCACCATTACTCTCACACTTGATTCAAAAGTCCCCAGGCATTCACTCAACATTTCCCAAAATCTCTCTCTCTCCTCTACACTTCTCTCTTCTCCAGGTGCATACACGCTTATTATAACCCACTTTTCACATCCAATCTGTATTTTACTCCACATAATACTTGAATTAATACATTTATAGTCCCTCTTTTCCTGCCATAGCTTATCCTTCAACATTATTGCTACTCCTTCTTTAGCTCTAACTCTATTTGAAACCCCTGACCTAATCCCATTTATTCCTCTCCACTGAAACTCTCCCTCCCCCTTCAGCTTTGTTTCACTTAAAGCCAGGACATCCAGCTTCTTCTCATTCATAACATCCACAATCATCTCTTTCTTATCATCTGCACAACATCCACGCACATTCAGACTTCCCACTTTGACAATTTTCTTCTTCTTATTCTTTTTAGTAATCTTTACAGGAAAAGGGGTTACTAGCCCATTGTTCCCGGCATTTTAGTTGACTTTTACAACACGCATGGCTTACGGAGGAAAGATTCTTATTCCTCTTATATCCTCATTAAAGAATAAATCATATAAAATTAAAAAGACTTTCGCTTTCATTATTAAGACCTTCTTCGTGGTATTTGGGAATTAAGCTAAAAATGTCCAATTCGGCATAAAAAAGTAAATAATTTACACATAGAAAGTCAAGACGAGGGAAAATTCTTTGAAATACACCTTGACTACAGCCTGAAATTCAACACTCACATCAAACATATATCTAAGAAAATTTCCAAAATTCTGGGCATTGTACCAAAAATACACTTTGTTCCAAAAATAATATTACTCAGCTTCGTACTTCTCTAAAATCTGTCCTTGTTTTAATAGGTCATTTCCTTCTATAAATTTTACTATATTATCCATTATTTATACTGTAGTTTCAATTATTTTCCCAAAATTTATAGTGAAACTGACTTTGGGCGGCAATTGAGAGCGCGGGTGGTTAGTCTCACTTGTTGAATGTTGGAATCACATTATCAAGTTTATCCTCACAGGGCATATTATCTTCAGTAGATTTGTTTAATATAACTTTGATTTAACGGATATTTTATTATTCTGGCTAATATTTCACTGGGCCTTGTAGATTTGTATATTCCCATCTTCTCTAGCAATTCTAACGTCACTAGGTTACTAGGCAGCTGCTGATTTCGTTTATATTTATCGGGTTTGTTTCAGTTATTTCGATGAAGCTATGTATATAATCTAAGTGTGTTGGTTTAGCATTACCACCGATGCCGCCGTCACCATCATCGTCAACACCACTACTATCTACTTCCTCCTCCCTAGATCCATTCCTCTACCTGACCTGACGTCTGTCTCAACTTTTTCTCGCTCAGTTGATAAGATTTATACTCTTGTTTAAATAGAAATTTACATTTTGGTGGGCTTGAGAGAGAGATCAGGAGGATCAATGTAGGAAGAAAAAGGAACTTGACAGACAGGATCACCTGTTTAGAAATCTGTTCTCGAAATAAACTAGTAGGATATCTGAATTGGTGAATACACTCACCCAGCTACTCCTATCTCGGCCCAGCAGGTGGTTTTGTGCCTTATACAATACCACAGACCTATATCCCAGCGGCTGCTCCGGTGTCCTACCTGTCTCAAGGGCAGGCGCCTTACACACCTTACACACCCACCAATTCAAGCTAAACACAATGATGAGGAGCCAGTCTATCAGTATCCTGTCGGCCAACATTAGATGATTCATTACCATTGTTGGAGAGCTCACCCACAGCTTCGTGAACACTAGACATCCCGACATGAAAACTGTTGTTGAAACATTTTTGGACGACAGGACTCTGGAAAATTTTGCAGGAATTGCTGGCTACATCTCATAGATGAGAAGAGACAGGCAAGGACAAGAAGGTGTTTCTATGTGCTTCTCTAAAAGTGTGCATGCCCAGCTCATTGATGTTGCCATTCCTAGTTACCTAGAAATGATGTCCTTTAAGCTATGCATAAACACTAGTGCCATTGAGGTCTGTACATCGCATGTGCGATGTACAGACCTCAGTGGCAGCATGCAGACCCCATCAACTTCCTAATGGAAAATGTGGACTCCCTTCTCTTCAACACAAATGTCAACATATTATGATTATTGGTGACCTCAACCAACATCTTATACAGAGGGACTGTTGACCTTCTTGTATTGTTTGACATGAGAAACTTTGTTGATTTCCCTACTCACATCTCTGGCTCCTCCCTCGATCCAGTAGTGAGTGATCTGTCAGAAGGCACAGTCACCTGTCAACCCCTCGTCTATGTTGGGTCGTCTGACCACAAGGCTGTTTTTACAACACTGAAGATTCCAACAGAACGAGGTGAGGAATCTTCACGTACAACCTGGCTATGGGAAAAAAGAAGCTGACCAGCCCTTTGCTCTGAACTCGCCACCTCTGATTGGCATGCTCTTCTCCAAGGGTATGTCGACAACCAGGTCAATGCCTTCACTGAACATATCCTTAATCTACAACAAGAACACATCCCTCACCGGCAGTATGTAACGATCAGCCTTGGTTCGGCTTTAGTTGTAGAAATGCTGCTACTGGTAAGTACAAGGCTTGGAGAAGATATAAGAGAAATCCCACTACCTAGAACTGAGTATACTACAAACTAATCACACAATAGAGCGGAAAAGTATTGTGAAGGACTTGGGAGTGGTAATGTCTGAGGATCCCACCTTCAAGGATCACAACAGTGCCACCATCACATCTGCGAGGAAACTGATAGGATGGATGATAATGAGAAGTCAAGACAAGAGATGCCAAGCCAGTGATGATCCTTTTTAAATCACTTGTTCTCTCTAGGCTGGAATACTGCTGTACATTAATGTCTCCATTCAAGGCAGGTGAAATTGCAGATCTAGAGAATGTACAGAGAACCTTTACTGCACATATAAGCTCCATCAAACACCTTGACTACTGGGAACGCTTGTACTCACTGGAACGCAGGCGAGAGAGATGCATCATAATCTACACCTGGAAAATCCTAGAGGGACTGGTCCCTAATCTCCACACACAAATCACTCCCTATGAAAGCAAAAGATTTGACAGGCAATGTAACATACCCCCAATGAAAAGTAGGGGCGCCATTAGTACACTAAGAGAAAACTCAATAAGTATCCGGGGCCCAAAACTGTTCAGCAGCATCCCACCAGCCATAAGGGAAATTACTAATAGACCCCTGGTTGTCTTCAAGGGGGAGCTGGACAGACACCTGAAGTTAGTACCAGATCAGCCGGGCTGTGGCTCGTACGTTGGACAACGTGCGGCCAGCAGTATCAGCTTGTTGATCAGGCCCTGATCCACCGGGAGGTTTGGTCATGGACCGGGCCGCGGGGGCGTTGATCCCCGGAATACCCTCCAGGTAGACCTATAACAGGAACCTGCACAGGCAAGCCTGTAGGCATATGGGTGAAGTTCAAAAGTGGGCTATTTCTAAATGTGAGGCTGACACAGAAAGAAAGCTGGCGTCAGGTAGAGTAGCCTCCAAAACCTGTTGGTCCCTGGTCAATGGACAAACAAGGTTATCTGCCTGATGAACTTATTCCACCTCTAAATCGACAGAATGGGACCACCTCTATTAGTAGTCAGGAGAAAGCCGATCTCTTTGCCGGACACTTTGCTGCCAAGATGCAAGTTCCTGATCCAGCAAGGGACCTTCCTTGGCTAGCTGCAAGAACTGTCAACGCTGTCAGTGGTGATAATAGGGCAGGAGGTGTATATTCTTCTTAAATCGGTGGACCAAGAAAAAGCTGTGGGCCCAGACAAGCTGAGCCCAAGATTGCTGAGCAGATGTGCTGACCAGCTAGCAGCACCTCGAACTCGTATCTATCAGCACTGCCTAACACAGTGTAAATGACCCTCTCTGTGGAACGAGGCAAATGTAGTCCCTGTTCACAAAAAGAAGAGCAAAGCAGAAATCAACAACTACAGACCAGTGTCACTCCTGTCAATCACTGGCAAGATCCTTGAAACAAAAATCTCACGGCAAATGACAGAGTTTTTCGACTACCACTCGCTTCTTTGTGACCGTCAATATGGCCTCAGAACACTCAACTGTGTAGTAGCACTGGATATTGCTGGTGCTTTAGACCGAGTAAGGCACCAGGGACTCTTAGTAAAACTGCAAGTACTGGGAATTTTAGGCTTTGCACTATGTCTCCTCAATGATTACCTTCAAGGTAGATCAAATGGGGCAGAGTCAGCAAGACATCCTATTGGGGCAAGTGTTCCACAGTGAAGCGTGCTTGGGTCATTGTTATGGAATGTCTACTTCAATGACCTCCTCCAACTTATCCCAGAATCCCATGCATATACAGGTGACTACACGCTGACATTTACTTATGCAAGAGAAGAAGTGCCAGCCGCTCTATGCTACATCAATCACCAGCTAAGAGCTATATCAGCCTGGAGTAAACGATGGCAGGTAACATTTGCTCCTGAGAAAACACAAATGATGGTCTCTAGTCACCATGATGGTAATGCTGAAGCAATGGTAAGTATGAATGGAAGAGCGTTGGTACCTGGGGATGAAGTTGATATCCTTCGGGTGAAATTCGACTCCAAACTGACTATGAAGAATCACGCTGTAAACCTGGCAAACAAGGCGGCCAGGAACCTTACTGCACTTTAACGTATCTCGCATTTGCTTGATAGTAGAGGTTGCAAGATTCTGTACGAGGCACAAATACGTTCACACCTTGAGTATGCTCCTCTTTCTTAAATTGCCTGTCCCCCATCTCATCTGCGACTTCTCGACAGAATGGAGAACAGAGCAAGACGCCTCTTCTCTCGCCTGGACCAAGCCTGAATAGATCTGTCATTTCAGCAGAGCCTTCAGCACAGGAGGGATGTGGACGGCCTTATTGTTATATATAAGGCCAACATTCTCAATTTACTACACTTGGCTCCACTCCGAGGACGGTAGAAGCGAGCTTTTACACCACAAGACGGGCAGCAAGCAAGCATCTTCACTCTGTACCCTTTTCCAAGACATCGCTACATCTGAGATCATTTATTCCTAGGATGACTCAAATCTGGAACAGGTTCGTACAGCATATTGATATCAACGAAATAAAGTCAGCTGATCAATTGAAAATGCTAGCCCACACATGGCTCCAACTTCATCCCGTTCCCTACTTGTATCTCATAATAGTAAAAAAAAGAGCTTTTAAACGAGCTGATATAGGTAACAGCTGTAGCTTGTCAATAAAGTTAGGAATCCTTAACCTAACCTTGTCAAACCCTGTGTTAAAAAAAAAAAAGGAGAGAGAGAGCGAGCCCCCTGCTTCTGTGTTGAATTCCAGCCCTCACTGATTACTTGTATGTACTCTAGCTCGGGTGCAAGTGTTGTTAGCGGTACACACAGGTACAGAGTACCTGGTAAACACCTACTGTTAAAAGGATCACAGGATCTATCCTTCCCTTGGATCCAGCCTCGTTAACTCCCATTTCCCCAAAGGTTGAGCGTTTTCCTGTGAATAAAATAAAATAAAATGCCAAGGGACTTCCTGATTAAAGAAGTTTATACATGTCAATTAATCTTGGGTCAATTGTATACTGTATTATATAGAAATAAAACAAGTCTTAGTCTTGTCTTGGATTAATAGTAATAATTATTTACAACTTACTGCACGCAGGGCCGGGGTGGGAGCACGGGCGTGCACGCGGGACTACCTGTTCGTGCCCCATCTTGCTAACGCCGCCGTGGGCAGCGGGGGCAAGGCCTCCCCAGATGGTGGGGAGCGGCTGTGTGGAGGCAAGTTCTCCTACCTCCATGGTGACGCCCTCAACAGACAGGTCACAGGTTAGTGCATATAAATTTTTTAGAAAACAATAAGAGAAGAATGACAAAATTTATCCATTGGATAAGAAATCTTCCGTACGAAAAGAGATTGAAATCCTTTAAATTACATTCTGTTGTAAGACGAAGAATGAGTGGAAACTTGGTTGAACTCGAAATAATGAATTCAAATTGGATAAATTTAGATTTAGAAAGGATATAAGAAAGTATTCGTTTAGAAATAGAGTAGTTGATAAGTGGAATCTTTGTGTTCATTGCCTCTTTAACCTTTCAACTGCACCTGGCTTAACAACAGCGGAAATACACATTGTTGGAGGCCTAGCAACTAGCTCCCCAAATTTGACTATTTATTGCAAGAAAATCTAGATTATTTGCGTAATATGTCTGGTATCTTATTTTCAGTAATATCTTGACATATCACATATAAAAAATTAAATCAACATAATTTAATAGCTATCTGTAATTATATCTGTTTCTAGTTTTACCATATCGGCCGCCGACCACCATGGTAGGATGACAAAAAAAAATGAACCTTTCACCATCATTCAAGCAACAGCTATCTTACTGGAAGTTGTTCAAACACTTCCAGTGACCCTTCCAACTGCAACATTGCCAGTCATCGTACTTCCCTGTACTTTATTAAATTAGAAGACAAACTGCAGATGTTAACCTACCTGCACTATCAATACAAGCCACCCTCTCTTGTACTTAATATATAATTATCAGTTAAACCTGCCAGTCCCTACTAAACTCTGTAAGTTAAACAATGAACAAAAAGATCTTTAAATACAAAATGATTATAAAAATGTTTTATATTACACAGTAAACAGGTGATATCACAATATGCAAAATAACCATTGTGAAAAAAAAAGTAGTGAATATCCAAGCGTTTCGAAATTCACTATTTTTCACACTGGTTATTTTGCATATATATTAATATTTAGATCTAGCCAATAGGCAGGCGATTTCACAACCGTTTCTAGTTAATTAAAAATTATATTATGAAAACTTTGACTACAACAAGAGGATAAAATACTGAGGTGTGTTTTATAAATAAATTCACGTCTCACACACTGGTCACATCTTAATATGTTGTATTTTAATTCACTTGTCATCCTCCCGAATATAATATACAAAATTAGTCACTTAACATTAAATAAATGTATTGCATAATTTTGTGTGTCTATTATTGTTGTACTCTTGTATCTACCCATGTACCTACATTATCTAATGGCCGACTTGTTGAAAAAAAAAAAAAAAAAAAAAAAAATAAAATATATATATATATATATATATATATATATATATATATATATATATTATATATATTATATATATTTATATATATATATATATATATATATATATATATATATATATATATATATATATATATTGTTGTGTTTATGTGTGTGTGTACTCACCTAATTGTGGTTGCAGGGGTCGAAACTCAGCTCCTGGCCCCGCCTCTTCACTGAGTGCTACTAGGTCCTCTCTGCTCTACGAGCTTTATCATACCTCATCTTAAAGCTATGTATGGTTCCTGCCTCCACTACCTCATTTGCTAGGCTATTCCACTTCCTGACTACTCTGTGACTGAAGAAATACTTCCTAACTTCCCTTTGACTCATCTGAGTCTTCAACTTGCAACTGTGACCCGTTGTTTCTGTGTCCCATCTCTGGAACATCCTGTCTCTGTCCACCTTTTTTATTCCACGCAGTATTTTGTATGTCGTCATTATGTCGTCCCTAACCCTCCTGTCCTCCATTGTCGTCAGGCCGATTTCCCTTAACCTTTCTTCGTAGGACATTCCCCTTGTGTGTGTGTGTGTGTGTGTGTGTGTGTGTGTGTGTGTGTGTGTGTGTGTGTGTGTGTGTGTGTGTGTGTGTGTGTGTGTGTGTGTGTGTGTGAGGTAGATGGAGCAAAAGGAAAACTGCAACAGCAAGAGAGGTGAAAGTTTATAAACTAAGGGAGGTGGAAGCTAGGGTGAGATATAAGCAACTTTTGCCAGAAAGGTGAGCTTGTAAGAGAATAGGTAGTATGGAGTTGAAGAGGGGTGGGATAGTTTTAAAAAGGCAGTATTAGAATGCAGAGCAGAAGTTTGTGGTTATAGGAAGATGGGTACAGGAGGAACGAGCGACTAGTGGAATGATGAGGTAAAGGATGTGATAAAAGAGAAAAAGGTTGCGTATGAGAGATTTTTACAGAGCAGAAATGATGTAAGACGGGTAGAGTATATAGAGAGTAAAAGAGAGGTGAAGAGAGTGCAAAAGGAGAGCAAATGATAGAATGGGTGAGGCACTGTCAACAAATTATGCTGAGAATAAGAAAAAAAATGGAGTGAGACAAATAGGATTGACAATTTAAAACAGAATAGGGGAGTTAGATGGGGAACTGAAGGTATTGGAAAGATGGCGGAAATATTCTGAGGATTTTTTAAATGTTGATGAAGAGAGGGAGGCAGTAATTTCATGCATTGACTAGGGAGATATAACATCTTTTAGGATTGATGAAGAGCAAAAATGTGAGTGTGGGGGAGGTGCGTGAGACATTACGTAGAATGAAAGGGGTAAAGCAGCTGGAACTGACGGGATCATGACAGAAATGTTAAAAGCAGGGGGGATATAGTGTTGGAGTGGTTGGTATTTTTGTTCAATAAATGTATGAAAGAGGGGAAGGTACCTAGGGATTGGCGGAGAGCATGTATAATTCCTTTATATCAGGGAAAGGGGACAAAAGAGATTGTAAAAATTATAGGGGAATAAGTTTACTGAGTATACCAGCTAAAGTGCATGGTAGGGTTATTAATGAAAGAACTAGAGGTAAGATAGAGAGCAGGATTGCAGATGAACAAGGAAGCTTTAGAATAGGTAGGGGATGTGTAGATCAAGTGTTTATATTGAAGCATATATTTGAACAATATTTAGATAAAGGTAGGAAAGTTTTCATTGCATTTATTGATTTAGAAAAGGAATATGATAGAGTGGATAGGGGAGCGATGTGGCAGATGTTGCAAGTATATGGAATAGGTAGTAAGTTACTAACTCTGTAAAGAGTTTTTATGAAGATAATGAGGCTTAGATTAGGGTGTGTAGGAGAGAGGGAGACTACTTCCCGGTAAAAGTAGGTCTTAAACAGGGAGGTTTAATGTCACTATGGTTGTAAATATTCTTGACTGGTGGTAAATAAGTAATGTACCGGCTGGATGACTGTGTAGTCGGTAGGTTTTAAACTCTTAAACCCCCGGCCCCCCTCGAGCAAACCAACTTACAGATTAGTCTTATAAATAATGTAATAGACTAAAATTATCCTAATATGCATTACACAGTATTGTAGTGGAAATGGTGATTGTTGTTTTGGTGACAGTGATTGTTGTTGTGGTGACGGTGATTGTTGTTGTGACGGTGATTGTTGTTGTGACGGTGATTGTTGTTGTGGTGACAGTGATTGTTGTTGTGGTGACGGTGATTGTTGTTGTGGTGACGGTGATTGTTGTTGTGACGGTGATTGTCGTGGTGACGGTGATTGTTGTTGTGGTGACGGTGATTGTTGTTGTGGTGACGGTGATTGTTGTTGTGACGGTGATTGTCGTGGTGACGGTGATTGTCGTGGTGACGGTGATTGTTGTTGTGGTGACAGTGATTATTATGGTGATTGTGGTGACGGTGATTGTTGTGGTGACGGTAATTGTGGTGACGATGATTGTGATGGTGAGTGTTGTAGTGACGATTGTTGTGGTGACGATGATTGTTGTAGTGACGATTGTTGTGACGATTGTTGTGGTGACGATGACTGTTGTAGTGACTATGTTGTGGTGACGATGATTGTTGTAGTGACTATGTTGTGGTGACGATGATTGTTGTAGTGACTATGTTGTGGTGACAATGATTGTTGTAGTGACTATGTTGTGGTGACGATGATTGTTGTAGTGACTATGTTGTGGTGACGATGATTGTTGTAGTGACTATGTTGTGGTGACGATGATTGTTGTAGTGACTATGTTGTGGTGACGATGATTGTTGTAGTGACTATGTTGTGGTGACGATGATTGTTGTAGTGACTATGTTGTGGTGATGATGATTGTTGTAGTGACTATGTTGTGGTGACGATGATTGTTGTAGTGACTATGTTGTGGTGACGATGATTGTTGTAGTGACTATGTTGTGGTGACGATGATTGTTGTAGTGACTATGTTGTGGTGACGATGATTGTTGTAGTGACTATGTTGTGGTGACAATGATTGTTGTAGTGACTATGTTGTGGTGACGATGATTGTTGTAGTGACTATGTTGTGGTGACGATGATTGTTGTAGTGACTATGTTGTGGTGACGATGATTGTTGTAGTGACTATGTTGTGGTGACGATGATTGTTGTAGTGACAGTGATTGTTGTGTAGATTATAATGTATATTACCAATACAAACACTACACATAGGTTAATCTATCATCCACTTAACAAACATCTTGCTCAAGTTAGAGTACATGAGACTCATCCATGTATTACAGAGCACACAGGAACGTACTCAGCCATATCTTCGCACACAGGGTACGTGACGGGACCACTCTACGTGCTGCACTTCAAGACAGGTGAACCAGAGGTGTACAACAGCGTCACACATGGACCAGGCTACAGGCTCACCTACCACCAGCGCTTCACCTGTGACCACAGTGTGTCTAGAGGCGCCACACTCCGCTATACTCAGGGTAGGAACCTCAAACGGAAGCCTCTTAAACGTTTCGCACTCTGGCAGGATTGCTTCTCTTTGTGTAAGATGGCATATAGATCTTATAAACTTCTACTACCATATTAGAATTATTATTTTTTGTAATATTTCCTCCTAATAATATTTCTTCATAATTTGCTCTTATTCTTATTTTTTTCCATTACATCGGCCGTCTCCCACCGAGGCAGGGTGACCCAAAAAAGAAACACTTCCACCATCATTCAAAACTTTCACCATCATTCATACATAATAACTGTCTTTGCAGAGGCGCCCAAATACAACAGTTTAGATGCCCCTCCAAGCAGCCAATATCCCAGACTCCTTCTTCAAAGTGCAGGCATTGTACTTCTTCCTTCCAGGACTCAAGTCCGGCTTCCCGGTTACCCTGAATCCCTTCACAAAATATTACCCTGTTCACACTCCAGCAGCTCGTCAAGTCAAAAAAAAAAAAAAATTGTTATTACAGGTTGTAATATTTCTTTTCGACATAACCTATTCTTCTAACATTTCCTCTCCAGTTTAGGAGCCTGGTCTGAGACCAGACCCTGGGGGAGGGGGGGCGATGACCCCTGGAGACATTTGGAAATATATTTTCAGATACAGGAGGGCCCCGCTTTACGGCGTTCCGCTTTACGGCGTTCCGCTAATACGGACATTTCAAATTATGACCAAAACTCACTATACGGCTCCCCCCACCTGACTTTCTAATACGGTCACCGTGCCCCACCCTGTTTGTTTACATTCTCCATGAGCTCAGTAAGCACTAAGTCTCTCCATTTTGTCTGGAAACTCCAAAATTTCAAATGTTTTTAAAAGTTATTTCATATTTTATATATACTCTGATAATTATACTTATGTATACCTGTACCTAAATAAACTTACATACATCAAGTCATTTAAATGTCGTATATTACGTTAATATACACATTTTCATTAATCCATCCATGATATTTTTTTCAAAATTATATAATAAACACGATGCATAACATATAAATAAGATAAATACACCCCACAGTAGAATAAATAAACATAAATGTGAGATGTGAGCAGACGACTTCCACAAGTGACGCCATAATAACAATACTCACCGAGTCTCATTAAATGTCGTATATTACGGTAATATACACATTTTCATTAATCCATCCATGATATTTTTTTCAAAATTATATAATAAACACGATGCATAACATATAAAATAAGATAAATACACCCCACAGTAGAATAAATAAACATAAATGTGAGATGTGAGCAGACGACTTCCACAAGTGACGCCATAATAACAATAGTCACCGAGTCTCATTAAATGTCGTATATTACGGTAATATACACATTTTCATTAATCCATCCATGATATTTTTTTCAAAATTATATAATAAACACGATGCATAACATATAAATAAGATAAATACACCCCACAGTAGAATAAATAAACATAAATGTGAGCTGTGGTAGCAGACGACTTCCACTAGTGGTGATAATAACAATAGTCACCGAGTCTCATTAAATGTCGTATATTACGGTAATATACACATTTTCATTAATCCATCCATGATATTTTTTCAAAATTATATAATAAACACGATGCATAACATATAAATAAGATAAATACACCCCACAGTAGAATAAATAAACATAAATGTGAGCTGTGGTAGCAGACGACTTCCACAAGTGGTGATAATAACAATAGTCACCGAGTCTCATTAAATGTCGTATATTACGGTAATATACACATTTTCATTAATCCAGCCATGATATTTTTTTCAAAATTATATAATAAACACGATACATAACATAAAAAGATGATAAATACACCCCACAATAGAATAAATAAACATAAATATAAGATGTGGGAGCCTGGTTTGTTTACTCTGTGCCTGGCCTGTCACCTCTCATGTACTCATTCTTTCTCTCTCTCATTTATTCGTTTTATCTCATTTACTTACTCCTGACCCTACATTAAGACTACAAATATTTTAAGGTAAGTAATGAGTGAACTGTATATACATTTTATCGCTCTGGGATGCTTAAATATCATAGAATAGTATGTGTGGGTGGGGTGGCCTGGTGAGGCTATTACAATACATACCACACTTGATTTCTTACAATAAATACTACTTGTCTCACCCTAGATTAAGACTATAAATATTTTAAGGTAAGTAATGAGTGCACTATGTGTGTATTGTACCTTTTTATTGTTTTTTGATGCCTGGTTCTATTGCTAACTTAATATATGTTAGTGTAAACTTGTTATCTAGTGTTTGTATGCATTTATAAGTGGAAAAAAAGGGTGTTCCACTTTACGGCGATTTCCGCTTTACGGCGGTAGCCTGGAACCTAACCTGCCGTATAAGTGGGGCCCTCCTGTACTTGTTTAAGGTACTCTGGCGGTACAGTATCAATTACTAGAGTACAGAAGTAGTTAAGAAATGGGCCATGCTAGGCAGGTTCAACTCACACCCACCCATTTAGCCGTCCCATCCTCTGTCTAAAGCTACCCAAAGTTGTGCCTTCACTGTCTGCTGCCTGGGAGATAGTTGCACTCACCTCAACTCTGTTGTGAAGCCAGTGCCTCCTTGCTGCACTAATTAAGACTACTTAAATAATTAAGTAGAGCACTGAAGTGTACAGTAGTAATTAAGTGAACTAAGAGCCGGCGATGCACCTTGAAGACAGGAGATATACCTAGGAGACAGGAGGTGCACCCAGGAGGCAGGAGGTGCACCCAGGAGGCAGGAGGTGCACCCAGGAGGCAGGAGGTGCACCCAGGAGGCAGGAGGTGCACCCAGGAGGAAGCAGGTGCACCCAGGAGGCAAGAGGTGCACCCAGGAGACAGGAGGTGCACCCAGGAGGCAGGAGGTGCGCCCAGGGGGCAGGAGGTGCACGTAGGAGGCAGGAGGTGCACCCAGGAGGAAACAGGTGCACCCAGGAGGCAGTAGGTGCACCCAGGAGGAAGCAGGTGCACCCAGGAAGCAGTAGGTGCACCCAGGAGGAAGCAGGTGCACCCAGGAAGCAGCAAGTGCACCCAAGAGGCAGTAGGTGCACCTAGGAGGCAGATGCACCTAGGAAGCAGGAGGTGCACCTAAGAGGCAGGAATTGCACCCAGGAGGCAGGAGATGCATCCAGGAGGTGCACCTAGGAGGCAGGTGCACCTAGGAGGCAGGAGATGCACCCAGGAGGCAGAAGGTGCACCTAGGAGGCAGAAGGTGCACCTAGGAGGCAGAAGGTGCACCTAGGAGGCAGAAGGTGCACCTAAGAGTCCGGAGGTGCACCTAGGAGGCAGGGGATGCACCTAGGAGGCAGAAGGTGCACCTAGGAGGCAGGTGCACCCAGGAAGCAGAAGGTGCACCTAGGAGGCAGGAGGTGCACCCAGGAGGCAGGAGGTGCACCCAGGAGGTAGAAGGTGCACCTAGGAGGCAAGAGGTGCACCTAGGAGGCAGAAGGTGCACCTACGAGGCAGGTGCACCTAGGAGGCAGGAGGTGCACCTAGGAGGCAGGAGGTGCACCTACGAGGCAGGAGGTGCACCTACGAGGCAGGAGGTGCACCTAGGAGGCATGAGGTGCACCTAGGAGGCAGGAGGTGCACCTAGGAGGCATGAGGTGCACCTAGGAGGCAGGAGGTGCACGTAGGAGGAAAAGGTGCGCCCAGGAGACAGGAGGTGCACATAGGCGGCACGAGGTGCGCCCAGGGGGCAGGAGGTGCACCCAGGAGGAAACGGGTGCACCCAGGAGGCAGTAGGTGCACCCAGGAGGAAGCAGGTGCACCCAGGAGGCAGCAAGTGGACCCAAGAGGCAGGAGGTGCACGTAAAAGGCAAGAGGTGCACGTAGGAGGCAGGAGGTGTACCTAGGAGGCAGAAGGTGCACCTAGGAGGCAGGTGCACCTAGGAGGCAGGAGGTGCACCTAGGAGGCAGGAGGTGCACCTAGGAGGCAGGAGGGGCACCTAGGAGGCAGGAGGTGCACCTAGGAGGCAGGAGGTTCACCTAGGAGGCAGGATGTGCACCTAGGAGGCAAGAGGTGTACCTAGGAGGCAGGAGGTGCACCCAGGAGGAAGCAGGTGCACCCAGGAGGCAGCAAGTGCACCCAAGAGGCAGTAGGTGCACCTAGGAGGCAGGAGGTGCACCTAGGAGGCAGGAGGTGCACCTAGGAGGCAGGAGGTGCACCTAGGAGGCAAGAGGCGCACCTAGGAGGAAGGAGGTACACCTAGGAGGCAAGAGGTGCACCTAGGAGGCAGGAGGTGCACCTAGGAGGCAGGAGGTGCACCTAGGAGGCAGGAGGTGCACCTAGGAGGCAAGAGGTGCGCCTAGAAGGCAGGAGGTGCACCTAGGAGGCAAGAGGCGCACCTAGGAGGCAGGAGGTGCACCTAGGAGGCAAGAGGTGCACCTAGGAGGCAGGAGGTGCACCTAGGAGGCAGGAGGTGCACCCAGGAGGCAGGAGGTGCACTTAGGAGGCAGGAGGTGCACCTAGGAGGCAGGAGGTGCACCCAGGAGGCAGGAGGTGCACCCAGGAGGCAGGAGGTGCACCCAGGAGGCAGGAGGTGCACCCAGGAGGCAGGAGGTGCACCCAGGAGGCAGGAGGTTCACCTAGGAGGCAGGAGGTGCACCCAGGAGGCAGGAGGTGCACCCAGGAGGCAGGAGGTGCACCTAGGAGGCAGGAGGTGCACCTAGGAGGCATGAGGTGCACCTAGGAGGCAGGAGGTGCACCCAGGAGGCAGGAGGTGCACCCAGGAGGCAGGAGGTGCACCTAGGAGGCAGGAGGTGCACCCAGGAGGCAGGAGGTGCACCTAGGAGGCAGGAGGTGCACCTAGGAGGCAGGAGGTGTACCCAGGAGGCAGGAGGTGAGCCTAGGAGGCAGGAGGTGCACCCAGGAGGCAGGAGGTGCACCTAGGAGGCAGGAGGTGCACCCAGGAGGCAGGAGGTGCACCTAGGAGGCAGGAGGTGCACCTAGGAAGCAGGAGGTGCACCCAGGAGGCAGGAGGTGCACC